ATCGTATTTCCTGCTCTGTACAGCGGTGTTTTGCGCTGTTCCAGCTTCGACTCCGGCTCTGGAAGAACGATACAGGATTGAGAATTAAAACGTCGCGCCGGAACCTGGGAACTCAGCAGAAGCTTTGGCCATCTTCAAGGGCGGCCCTTGCCACTTGCGACTCGACCACGTCTCGTCTTCCACTCTCCCCCAGCCTTAGACGGGCCCAGTTCGCTCCTTTGTTCCCCTAATCGAGGTACGATCTTGCGTGTTATTTTACACTTCACCTTACCTTTTTTTTCTTTCTGCCGTGTTGCAATCGCGATCTGGCTGTAGTTTGGAGTTGGATGCTGACGCCAATCTGTCCTCAGCTTCGCCCCTTCTGCACATCCCTCTCATTCCCTTCGAGGGGTCTACGGTAGCCCACCATGAAGCTGTCCGCGGTTCTCCTCGGCCTGCTCGGCCTCGCTGCCGGTGCATCGGTTCGAAACTACGAGACAAACGACTACTATGTTCTCGAGCTGGATTCGTCTACAACTCCCGACCAGGTTGCCGGTCGACTGGGCCTACGCCACGAGGGCTCTCTCGGCGGCCTCGACGGCCATCACATCTTCTCCGCGAGAAAGGAGTCGCAGGATATCGTCAAGCCTGCCCTGCAGGCGCGGAGGATGAGGAGGCGAGGACTCGGCGGTTCCGACCCCCTCGATGGTGTTCGTCTCGCACAGAAGCAGCAGCTTCGCAAGCCCTGGGAGAAGAGGGTGCCCCCGCGCCTGCACGGCCCCAAGAACTTCGCTCGTCAGGAACAGGCGGATCCTGGAATGGTTGAGCAGATGAACAAGATCATGCAGACCCTGAACATCGCCGACCCCATCTTCAACGAGCAGTGGCATCTGCTTAACACTGTACAGAAGGGACACGACATCAATGTCACGGGTGTCTGGACCCAGGGCATCACCGGCAAGAACGCGACTGTCGCCATTGTCGACGACGGCTTGGATATGTACAGCGATGATCTGAAGCCCAATTACTACGCCGCTGGCTCCTACGACTTCAACGACCACCGCGAAGAGCCGAAGCCCACGCTGAGCGATGACAAGCACGGCACTCGCTGCGCCGGTGAGGTCTCTGCTGCGCGAAACAACGTCTGCGGTGTCGGCGTCGCATACGAGTCTAAGATTGCCGGCATCCGTATCCTGAGTAAGCTCATTTCAGACGCCGATGAAGCCGTCGCCATGACGTACGACTACCAGCACAACGATATCTACTCCTGCTCTTGGGGACCCCCGGACGACGGTCGATCGATGGACGCGCCAGGTATCCTGATCAAGCGTGCGATGCTTAAGGGCATTCAGCAAGGTCGTGGCGGAAAGGGATCGATCTACGTCTTTGCTAGTGGAAACGGTGCCGCCAATGATGATAACTGCAACTTTGACGGATATACGAACTCCATTTACAGCATCACTGTTGGTGCCATCGACAGAAAGGGACAGCACCCGTACTACTCCGAGAAGTGCTCAGCTCAGCTCGTTGTTACCTACAGCAGTGGCAGCGGAGATGCCATCGTAAGTGACGATACTTTTTAGCGTAATGAAGCACGACTAACAGCTTGGCAGCACACCACCGATGTTGGCACTAACGCCTGCTACAACGGCCACGGAGGCACTTCCGCCGCAGCCCCGCTGGGCGCTGGTGTCTACGCTCTTGTTCTCGAAGCCCGTCCCGATCTGACCTGGAGAGACATGCAGTGGCTCGCCATGGACACGGCTGTGCCTATTGACGAGGAGAAGGGCGAGTGGCAGCCAACCAAGATTGGCAAGAAGTTCAGCCACACGTATGGATACGGCAAGATTGACGCCTATGCCATGGTCGAGGCGGCCAAGAAGTGGAAGAACGTCAAGCCTCAGGCTTGGTACTACTCTCCTTGGGTGCACGTCAACAAGCCTATTCCCCAAGGCAAGGATGGTGTTGCCGTCAGTTTTGAGGTTTCTGCCGATGCCCTCAAGCAGGCCAACCTGGAGAGAGTGGAGCATGTGACGGTCACTATGAACGTGAACCACACCCGCCGTGGTGACTTGAGCGCGGACTTGATCAGCCCCGAGGGTGTTACCAGTCACCTTTCTGTAACCCGCAAGATGGACTCTGCTCGTTCCGGATATGTTGACTGGACGTTTATGAGCGTTGCGCACTGGTGAGTCGGGTCTAGATGACATGTTTGAAGAATAGACGCTAATCCTGGATTAGGGGCGAGTCTGGTATTGGCAAGTGGACTGTTGTCGTCAAGGATTCCCAGGAGAACGAGCACCAGGGCACCTTCATCGACTGGCACCTCAAGCTCTGGGGTGAGTCGATCGATGCCACCAAGGCCACTCTTCTTCCCATGCCTACCGACGACGACGACAACGACCACGCTTTGGTTGCGACCACTAGCCTGCCCGCAGCTACCACTTCGATCGAGCACCCTGCGCAGCCTACCGACCAGCCTGTCGTTCCTACGGATCACCCCAACCGACCGACCAAGGTCCAGAGCGGTGGTACCCCTGCCGCAACGGGCCCGGCGACGGGTACTGAGGACGCCGCGACAACGACGACCAGCCCCTCTAACTGGGTGTCTTGGCTGCCGTCGTTTGGCAAGGCCGGTGTCTGGGTGTATGGCGCGCTTGCTCTTATTGCTGTCTTTTGCTCTGCTCTCGGTATCTGGTTCTACATCCGCAAGCGTCGCAACAGCCAGCCTCGCGACAACTATGAGTTCGAGCTCCTTAACGAGGACGAGACCGAAGGTTTGAATGGCGAGAAGCGCACGCGCGGCCGTGAGCTGTACGATGCGTTTGCTGGTGACGACGAGGACGATGATGATGACAGCAGCGAGTATCGCGACGGGGATCGTGATCGTTCAAGAGAGGGACGTGGCAACAGGGAAACGGATAGGTTAACTGAAAAATAGGCGTACGGCTGCATGGGACGTTTTGCATAGAAATACCTTTACTCTTGTTTTTTGTTTTCAACTTCTTGTCGCATTTCTCGGTAGTTGGCTCAATTGACTTAGACTGTGGTTGGCGTCTGAGGCTCAACCAATCAATTGTATAAATACATTCTTTGAACAATTCTGGGGATTTTTGAGTTTGAGAGCTTGGGAGCCTTACCTAAGAAGCGAAGATCAAAGTTCACCTCGGTGAACGACGAAGGGAGTCCCGGTTTGCACTGATGATGTTTACGCGGGCCATCCCGTGCGATAGCTAGGTAGCTACTGCATAGCTCCTAGCTGGCGGGAAATAGGCTCAACAGCATTTCTATTTTCGGCCTGTTCGTCTTCCATTATTCTTGTTTGCACCATCCGACAGTCATCTTTCTGCTTTGCCTAAGTTTTCTTATTTTCTTTCTCTCCGTGTTCTTCATTCATCTCAGACAATAGCCTGTTCGTTGGTTCATCTAGTGCCGAGTCAATCAGCGTTGCTTTTCCCACCTTGGAAACTGTGCCGTATCGAGGCCGGGTGTTCCTCCGCTCCAGCCACCTCATTATTCGGACGAGTACAGACAGCAGCAACTTTTTTTTTTCTGCGTCAAGGCTGTTTGGAGGGCAGGTAGCTTGAGCTGGTAGGTAGCTTCGGGGGTGGCTACCCCATCTAATCGGTGTTACAAACGCAGAAAGCATTCGGCGCCGTATCTGCTGCTGCCGCCCTCGGGTTGGCCTCGATCCTTGCTCCCATTAGAATTCGGTGTGATTCAGCCACCCGGATTTTCGGACGTGATGGTTATTCTTGATATTCCTGCAGCCCCATCGTCCGAAAAGTCCCATGCATCCCTCCATTTCGGACTATCACATCTTGGCTGACGGGAAACGGTACTTGTTGCTGCTGCTGCTGCTGTTGGCCTGTGAAGACGGGGGAGGGGAGGGAGAGAAGCAGGCCGTGAGAGGTCGGTCGGCATGGGAAGCTGCAGCAGGCACAGGGTAGCAAGCAAGCTGGATCCCAACCTTCGGATGGACGAGATGGCGCGATGGAGACGCAGGTAAGCTGCAGAGGGGAGTCGTGGTCACTGGTCAATGGGATAGCTCAGGACCATTCAGTGGGCTCCATTCCGACCGCCTCTTTGTTTGCGTGTGCTGTCTGTCTGAGGCCCTTTAGCTTTGGCTCCATCGCGACTGTCCGTAAGGTGGAAGTGGAAGAAGGGAAGGAGGAGCTGCCACGCTGCCCACTCGACTAGTAGGTCCTAGTCCGTACCTAGGTAAGGTAAGGTAGGTGAGGTATCCGTAGCTCAGCAAGCTCTTGTCAGCCCAATCGATGACAGTCATGACACGCCTGGTTTGGCAGCAGGAGCAGAACAGACTCACGACCCTGGTCTCAGAGCCAGGATTATCTCCGCGCAAGCCGCCCCCAACCCTGGTCAAGCTGCTCGTTCTTAACCCGACTGGGCCACCAAATGACGCCGTAACACAACCCGTCAACCTCGCCATTTTCTTAGGTCTCGATGCTTGAGTCGCAGCGACGGAGGTGGGAGACGGAAGAAAAAAAAAAGACAAGCTCCTCTTTTTCCCGTCCTTCTCCAATCTCTGGCCTGCATCTAAACGGTTTCTTCTTTTTCATCTACTCCAGCATTCTCTTCTCGTACGGATACCTTAACGCAACGCAACGCAACCTCGCCTCGCCGACTCTCAAACTTGGCGAGCCCTGTCTTGCATCCGCTGGTCGACCCTCCGTTGCGCGCGCGTGTCTGCATCGCATTGGCTGCTATGGCAAGCTGCATATGTCTTTAGACGCCCGGCCTTTTTTTCCCTACCGCTAGATTGACACTTTTGTTCCCTGCCTCGAGTAGACTGTAGGTTTGGCATCCCACGGACTGTACAGATACACGCATCGACTACACCGGTGCTGCGCGCGCCCAGTCCTTTCAAGTCGATAACCGTCCTGCAGCCCAATTATAGCGCCGCTGCAAGTCAGAAAAATAATTCACCTCACACGCAGCTGGCTCGGCACCAGGCCAGACCAGACAAGACAAGACAGCATTGATATTAGCCTCCTCTCGCCATGCCGAGTGCGCCATATTGGGGCGATCTGTCGGGCCCCAAATCTGCCAGACGCCAGCGACGCCAGTCTGAGGATTTTAGTCTGCCAGAACGCAGACCATCTCCCATTCATCAGCTGGACCCTATGACAACGGACAAACCTCTTCCTGCCCCTCCCCCAAAGTCAAACCGCACCTCTCTCCAGACGACAAACACCGAGGCCGTCACCGAGTCGACCCTCAGTCCCTTCGTCTCACCTACAGCCTCCAACTTCCCAGACGAAGGCCTTGCCCCGCGCCCGCCTACCTTTCCCTACGGCGAGTCGCAATACCCAGAAGACCAGCAGGCTGAGAGGCGCCAGCGACGACGCAGAGAGCGCAACGAGCAGGAGGAGATTTCTCCCATCGAGCCCTACGACCTGCCCGCGGGCGCCACGCCTCCAGCAGCTCCCGATGTGCCCAAGGGCCCTCCCGTGAGCTACAGAAACCCGTACGGCAACGGCGGGCTGCCTTATACACATGCCGTCTCAGGATCTCGCCCTCCGCGACACCCCAGCCCGCTGGTGAGCCCAGACGACGGAGACATCATGAATCCCGAGGGATACTACAGGGACCCCGCGCCCGAGAGAGAGGCTGCGCCGCCGCAGCAAGTACAGCAGCAACATCAGCAGCAGAACCCGCCGCTCGATCGCGCCCAGACGCTCGATGTAAACGAGAGGCCCCGCGAGTCCAAGGGCTCGTCGAGAAGGAGGTCAGAAGGACATAGGAAATCTTCAGGAGGAGGATCCAGAAAGTTCGCCAACGACCGCTCTCCACTTCAAAGACTCGAGCTGACGCTCGACAGCATCACCAAAGAGGAGAAGCGAGCTCGTGTCGAGGCTGCGGAGCGCCGCGCGAGAGAGAAGGCTGCGGCAGCTGCAGCGCAGAACCCCGACCTCCTCCAACTTCCTGAAGCGACACACCGCCTTCCGCGATCGAAGCAACGGCAACAACAGCAACAACCGCCCGTGATCAAGCAGGAGCCTCAAAGGCCGCTTCCTGAACCTCCCCAGCAACCGACCGCTTCGGTTCCGCAAGTGCGATTCAGCGACGTTTCGTACGACGAGGATGACTGGCGGGGCACAGCGCCTGAGCAACAGGCTAATGTCGCTGCTCCCAGAGGAGCCCCTCCGCAACACCACCCAGAAGACAGACGGCATGCGCCGGCGCGCGTGTCGCTCGATGATGCGCGGCGGCAGCCTCGATATGTGTCGGAAGAGGAAGGGTACTATGGTGGCCAATATCAGCAGAGAGCGCCTGCGATGGCTGCTACAAGACATGCGCCAGCTCCCTCCGGGGGTGTTCCTCAGAGAAGTGTCAGCTTGCGTGAAGAACCTAGACAGGCGCCACCAGAAAACTCAGGCATTCCTAAGCGTAACTTGAGCTTCCGTGAGCGCGCTGCAAAGAATGATCTGAACCTCCCCAAGGCCGCTGTTGACAAAGATCTGAGCCCAGAGACAAGCCCTGAGCCGACGCCGCCGGTGAAGGGTTCTCGGAGACCTAGCTGGTCTCTCACTAGGAGTGGGAGCAACAAGCTTAAGAAGCAACCAAAGGGTGACCCGTGGTTCAACATTCGACAGGATGCTGAGAAGAAGTATGAGAACACCGACTTCCGCAACGCGGCTTTGGATGAGTCGGCGGCTGCGAAGGGTGGCCCTCCCGTCAAGAGGTCCGCGTCGCACGCGGCGCATGAACAGGCATTGCCCCCGGACGCCACGCATGAAGAGGTCAGACGAGCCGGGATTCCCAGTAAGGCTGCGAGGTTAATTGGCATTGAATCTGGAGGAGTCCAACGACGTGCTACGGCACCTATCAGTCGCCGTGATTATGAGCACGACGACGAGGCTTACTTTGAGCCCGTCGCATCAGGCGGCCGTGGCGATGAAGCTCAGCACGCGTCTCACAAAGCGGCGACTGAGCGCGGCAGACAGTATGAGCGGGACTACTATTCTGACGACGAGGAGTACGATGAGCGCGGTCACCGCATCACCAACAAGCTGTATCACGGCCGCGATAGCTTCCGCCCTGGCGAGGGTACGTACAAGCCGCCCAAGTACCTCGACGAGTGGAAAAAGGCAACAGTTGGCAGTTTGTCTGGCTCCCTTCTGGATCTCAGCGACGATCAACTTCCCACGCTCGATAAGAACACGCCATGGTGGGAGGGAAGTGGAAAGCGCAGAGGAAGCGCCTCTCGGCCGCGCAAGGCGGAAGCATTTGATGGCGAGTACGATGAGACTAATGGTAAGTAATGTGACGGCAAGGTCAATCAACAATGCTAACAACTGGCAGCTCCCACGAGGTTCAAACCACCACTGTATCTCAAGTGTGGCCCTCTGTTGAGGTACTGCGGACTGAAGCACGAGAAGATCCCTCCCCGCGCCAGGAACGCTGCAGCCACCGAACGCACCATGTGGCGTGGCTCAGTGATGATCGTGACGCAGGACAGCGATTCTTCGTACGAGATTGCGCCGACCTTGCGGCTGTTTGTGCAGCCCCTTGAGCTGCTTCCACCGCCACCGCAGATCATCCCTGGAGAGCAGGACCTGCCTCCGGAGTACGTGGACCCAATTGCAGGCATGCCGAAGTTGGGGAGACGGGGCGAAACTCTCTACGTCCGACCCGTAGACCACCTCGAGGAGGCCAAGGACTTGTCGAGAGACGAGACAGACAACGGGCTGTTTGAGAAAACAAAGAGTCCCCCGGATGTCCCCCCGGCGGATGGGTCTCTGGACTACCCGGGATCTTTCTCAAGCCGCCGCAAGCGTGTCAAGCTTGATGGAGAAAAGGTCTCCAAGTACAAGGACGTCCGCGGGTTCCGACTGCACTCAGAGCGTGGCTGCACCTTCTGGCGATTCAATATCGAGATTGAACTCCGCGAGAAGCAGCAACGGATCGCTTACCGTATTAACCGTGGCCCTTCAACGGGATTCTGGGTCCCCGCAGCTGGGGAGTCCATGAACATCATGTTCCACAGCTGCAACGGCTTCAGCATGAGCGTGAACCCCGACGACTTTAGCGGACCTGACCCAATGTGGCGCGATGTTTTGAACACTCACCAGTCGCAACCATTCCATGTCATGCTTGGTGGTGGTGATCAGATCTACAACGACTGCTTGATGGACCAGAGTAAGCAATTCCGCGAGTGGTTGATGATCAAGAATCCGCTGCATAAGCACAATGCGCCATTCACCCCCACGATGCAGGACGAATTGGAGAGGGCCTATCTCGAAAGGTACTGCATGTGGTTTTCCCAAGGGCTCTTTGGTCTGGCCAACTCGCAGATTCCCATGGTCAACATGTGGGATGATCACGACATTTCCGACGGGTTCGGCTCGTACGGTCACCACGATATGAGTTCGCCAGTATTTTCTGGTCTCGGCAACGTTGCTTTCAAGTACTATATGCTCTTCCAGCACCAAAGCGTCCCTGTCGAGACAGAGACTTCAGAGCCTAGCTGGATTCTTGGCACTCAACCCGGTCCCTACATCAATGAGCAGAGTCGCAGCTTGTTCGTCGAGTTGGGCTCCAAGGTTGCGCTGTTGGCTGTGGATGCCAGAACTGAGCGGACGGAAGGTGATGTCGTTAGCGAGGACACCTGGCAGCACATGATGGACCGCTGCTACGACGAGCTCAGGAATGGCAGAACTCAGCATCTGCTAGTTTTGCTGGGCGTGCCGATTGCATACCCCAGACTGGTCTGGTTGGAGAACATGTGAGTTGCCCCTGAATTCTGAATCATTTCTTAAGACAATGTACTAACAGACACAGTCTCACCTCAAGAGCCATGGATCCTGTCAAGGCTCTCGGCAAGCTGGGAATGCTTGGCAACACTTTGAACCACATTGACGGTGGTGTTGAGGTCTTGGATGACCTGAACGACCACTGGACTGCCAAGAACCACAAGAAGGAGCGAGAGATTGTAATCCAGGACATGCAAGACTTAGCAGCGGACAAGTCAGTCAGAGTCACCTTCCTCAGTGGTGACGTTCACCTTGCGGCTGTTGGCCAGTTCTACGCCAACCCCAAGCTCAACCTGCCCAAGCACAAGGACTTCCGCTACATGCCCAACGTCATTTCATCAGCCATCGTCAACACCCCTCCCCCTGATCTGATGGCGGACATCCTGAACAAGCGCAACAAGGTTCACCACTTTGACGACTCGACTGATGAGAACATGATCCCGCTCTTCGGCCACGGAGTCGACGGCAAGCCCCGAAACAACAAGCACTTGCTGCCGCACCGCAACTGGTGTTCCATTCGTGAATGGGCTCCCGGCACCACGCCGCCCCCCACGCCTCCCTTGTCGGCCTACGATAGAAGCCCTAGCCCGCCTCCGAGCCGTGGCGGTGGTCTTTTGCGCCGCTTCTCCTCGAACAAGGGTCCTGGTTACCGCCCTGACATTCAGAAGGACTCTCCACAGGACCCCTCTCGGCCTCCCATCTCCAACAGCGGCAAGACGGGCGGTCTGTTCCGAAGGCTCTCGCGTCGTAACTCGACTGACGGGGGCCGACCGGCTGAACCCGCCAAGCCGAAGCGTTCAATGTCGTTGACACGCAATTTCTTCAGTCGCAAGACCAGCAAGAAGTCGCGGCCTGATGACGGCGGCATCAACGGCAATTGGGGAGAGGAAGACGACGACAGAGGTTCCATTAGCACGGCCGAAGACGGCCATTACGGTTACGACACCTACGATGACAGACCGGCGGTGCAGCCCCGTGTAAGAGGAATGGGACTTCGCGGAGGTGGCGGCCACGATGAATACAACTCTGGCGATGATTCGTACTTCACGGCTCGCCCAGCCGCGCGCATGAGGGGCGCGCCTATTCCGCAGGGCCCGCAACACAATGAATTCCAACCTGGCGACGAGTCTCAATTTAGCGCTCGTCCACCGACTCGCGCTCGCACTATGAGTACTGAGCGTTCGGCCGCCATGCCGCCACCCAGGCCATTCCATCGTACCCCCACCGGCTTGTCGGTCAAGCAGCAGAAGAACGCCGATAAGTTCTCCGTGGATCTCGAGGGTGGTTTGGACATTTGTCTGAATGTCGAGGTTAATCCTAAGGACCCCACCGGCATCACGGCGCAGTATAGACTGCTCGTTCCGCGTCTGTTCTGGGATGACGCGAACGAGGCCGGAGCTCTGCAACAGCCTGCCCCAGCCGGCTTCAAGCGCTTCTTTAGCTTGAAGAAGAAGGACACGGGCCGCCGTCCGTCTCAGGATGTGGGAAGTGAGGAGCAATTCGACCGAACTCCTTCCGGCCGGCCGCAGACTGGAATGCCTCCCACCGGACGGGAAGCGTATGATGTGCCAAGGACGGCCGCGAGATACGAGTCACCCGGGGGCTACGACTCGTCTCGAACATATGACTCTTCTCAGCGGTATGATTCGCCTGCGAGGTATGAGCAGCCGCAAGCTGCAGGCGGAAGGAGGTGAAAGGAATTCGCACGATGAAGGGGGGGGGATTAATGAGCTTGCTTTTTCTTTTTCTGTGGGAGCCAGGTTTTGGTCTCCAAAATATTCGTTCACGGCATATTGAATTCGGGCATCATCGCATTAGCATTGCGAAGGAGTAAGATTGACGAGGGCACAAAAGTTTTTGGATCGCCGGTCCCTCGGACTAGGAGTTTCGGTACCTTATCTGCATGGCTGATGCCTTAATGACGACTATGACCTCAATTGTCCCGCGTACATGAGTGATGTGCATTTCAATTGGAAGATGAGTTTACATGAATCAAGTAGTTTATGAGGACGAATCAGCACACGGAGGCGGGGTATGAAAATCGTATTGGAGCAGAAGCTCTGGTCAAAACGTTTGGGTCCATCTATCCCAACCGTCTCGATGCGCAGTAATATTTTTATGATATCAAACTTTTTGTAGTCTGTCGCTCGTTAGCATCCCTTTGACACTCGTAACAGCACACCATGCAACCAACCTTTTTGGACTCAGTAACATATGCCGACGTGTTTCCCGCAGTCTCTATCCCCGAGACTGCAACACATCGGCAAGGCCAGCTTTCTCCAGCTGACCTTCTATCTCCTTTCCCACGTGGTTCTACATCCCGTGCTGTCGTCCCACATCTTACTGCACCCATGGCAAGTGTGCGTCAATACTTGAGGAGAGGAAGCTATCGTTTGAAAGCGAGTCCGAGACCGCATAATCACTGGATATCTTCACCGTCCTTGGCACCGCCAGCATCCCTCTCGGCGCTCCTGCTCCTGCTGCGGCTACGACTGCGTCCGCGGCCGCGGTTCTGGGCCCTCGCGCCGCCGCGGGCGTTGGCGCCGCCCTTGCCGCCGGGGGGAGGGCGGACGAAGGCGAAGTCGACGTAGACGGTCTGGTCGAGGAGCTTGGTCTCGTGGGCGTCGTTGATGGCGGCGCGGGCTTCGGCGAGGGTTGCGTATTCGATGAGGGCGTAGCCCTGTGGGACGGGTTAGCGTATCTGCTCATACGGCCTTTCTTGGCTCTTGAGATTGGGGGGGGGGAACGGGACGTACCTTGACGTAACCGCTTCGTCTGTCGAGGTTGAGGTGCAGGTTCTTAATCTCGCCGTACTCGCCGAATTTGTCCTGGATGGTCTCCTCGTCGGCCTCCTCGTGGACGTTGGTGACCATGACGATCCAGCCCTCGATGGAGCGGACGGCGGTGGCGCGGCCGTGGGTCTGCATCTCGGACTCGTTGCGGGCGGGCGCGCCGCCTGTTGTTTGGGCGGCGGAGGGGGAGGGGGGGTTGTCGATTTCCATTTCTACGTCGGCCATTTTCGCGGTTGTGTTTTGGGTGGTGCTGGGTTGGGTTGGGTGTCGGTGGAAAGGCGGTTGGCGAGACGCGGGGAGGAGATGTTTGGGTGACGTCGGTGAGAGGTGAGGTGAGGGTGTATGAATCGTGGGTTCGTATGGCGGGGCGCGTTGGGAGTTGTGGTGAACGAGGCTGAGGATTGTTGCCGACGATGGCAGAGACAACTGGAAAAAAGTGGAGGGACGTTGGATTTTGGAAGGTACGTATCTGGAGCTTGTGCACGGGCTTGCGGGTGGCTTTCTGAGTGGGTGTGAGAGCTGGCCAATGGTGAGAGCTTCACACCTTGATCAAGACTCAACGACACGAATTCAAGATTTGAAGCTGTCATTTGCTGCCTAGAGTCTCCTTGAGTGTTCCAATTACATTTATATGTATTATCAAGTCTTGAGTCTACGCCATGAACTTGGAAGTAAAACAGAAGCACCACACAAGACTTCATTGAGAACTTTCATGTAAACCGGCCTGAAGAGTCTCTGGGAACAATTCACCACGGTATGATTACTTATCATCAATGCTCAACATACGTCATGGCCTTGATCCAGCTGTGAGCTGGCAATTGGCTGTAAAATTAAGTCAGGAACACGTGGGTTATGACACCGGCTTCATCTCACTATGGAAACAGCCGAACACCCGTCTCAGCCCTATCCACCGTTCAAAGACAGCCTGGCCTGAATCCAAGATTGACAAGGCGTTCTTCATGTCGTCGTCTCACAAGATTTGAGACGAACGGTCATCTGGTTTCACTGCTGAGCCTCGTTCTCACCTTCAGGACGGGTGTCTGAAGCAAATGATGATACCCCACCGAAGGGCCAACAATGCACAGGGTTTTGGCCGCTAAATTGCTGCCTACGATATTTTGGGGACGCAGGACAGGTGAAGGTCCAGCTGCTCAGGGGTGAATGCTGCAAATCATGGCATGGGAGAAGTGCGACCTGCGGCCTGCCAGCATGGGAGATTGAATGCCGAGGAAGCGAAAAATGCAGTGCAGCATGGGAAGACGCAGGCCAAGCAGGACGTGAGAGTGAGAGATTTGGGGCACGGCGGCCGGGATGATGGTTGTTTCATCGTTTCCGTTTCACTACGCCAGGGACAACGGACGGCCTCGGCCCAGGGGTGGTGGAGGGTGACGCGTCGATCAGCATCGCGAAATGCTTTCCCCTGGTTTAATTGTCGCCGTCTGGTTCGTCGCTTGGCAGATTTGTACGGAGATGAAAATCCGCAGTCCATGCAACCCTTTAGCCAAGACACGAAGCCTGCTGCACCTTTTTCGTTCCTTCTTACGGTCTTATCAAGCACTGTCCGCGTATTCTGGGCCCATTGCCCATTGAGAGGAGGGGAAGGGGGAGACTTTTTTGTGTTAAATTATGTGGATTGGACAAGATCCTTGGCGGATGCGTGTTGTTTGCACTGCCTCGAGGGGGTGAGATTGTTGGTTTTTGTAAGTGGTGTGTTTACGATATAATTGAGGAGGTATTTCCATTGCCCCTGGATTTATTTGAAGAAAGATCTTTTTGGATGCACTGCGTTTTTCGTGACTTTTTTTCGAGAAACATCTTCCCCAGTGATTTACTGTCAATCATTTGATCTTTCCCAGTCGATCCGTCCACTTCAGCAGATCGCGAACGGCCATCCTCCTCTCACGCTTTGCGACAATCGTAATTACAACCTCCCGTCAAAATGGTGGTCCAAGAACAGCCTCAGCCAATGGCGCAAACCATGCAGCCGAACCAGCCGCAACAGAACCCCAATGAGCTTACGAAGGAGGAGAAGGATAACGAAGACAAGAAGACTTGGACCTGTGTAAGTCGAGACCCTCTTTGATGATCGTGGAGACGTGGACGAGCGAGTTCGCTAATCGGACGTTGTTGCAGGCCCAATGCTGCTCCAGCTGCCTTGATTGCATCATGATGTGCATGCGCTCTTAAGATGTCGAATCGATCATTCGATTTTTTTTTTAAGATCACGACAGGTGCTGGAGCTCTCGACATCTCCAGGCGTGTTAGGACAGCATTCGGCGCTCGGGGTTCCTTTTGGGGGATGTGGTACGCGGCCTTTTTGACTGCGATTTGCGATGGGCGATGGATACCTCTTGACTGTCGGAGTTTTAGGCGTTTGGTTTCTGAATGACGGCCGCGGCCGCGCACCCCGAGTGCCTCACGATATTCTTCTTCAGACTCTGAAATGGAGTGCGCCCTTGAAGCGCTTTTGCAATGACTACAAAGATGATCCCAAACAGTCGGTTCACGATGATGACTTGCGCGCCGAGGTTGCTGCTCCACAGCCGGCTGCTTGATACCAGGGTGACAGCACTAAACATCCTCCAGGACCGTCTATTTGCAGATGAAATCGATGATTCTGGTGCAATCATCACCAGGCGTAACGTAGTCCTGGATATCGGGACAGCCTCCAGATGCCGGGTGCCGGAGGTGGTGTGGGGGCCGGCACCGGCGTGGTCTCGGCGAAGTCTCCGCCCAAGTCCGTTTCGGCTTCCCGAACAAGACCAAGTTCAAGATTACTGCACACAATTGTGTTAATTTCTCTTTTCCCAGCCTGCATGAGTGGATTTTGTTCTTCTAGAAGAGAATTAATACTAGATGTGCGAGACATAGAGCCAGGCTTTTTCTCGGAAAGATCATCTACCTCCGGCGAACTCGGGGTACCAATCCACTAACGCCGGCACCTTGGGCGCTGTGGCTTCTAAACTGATAGCAACAGCGAACCGCTGAAGGCGCTGAAGGCGCCGAAGGCTCTATGTAACTAATCTACCTACTTAACCCGACGCCAATTACATGCTCTTGCAATAAAACCCGGCTCTTGTTGTTCCCATGGCACCTCAGATATCTTCTGTGGATTATCGATCTTAACTTGGCTTTGGGTTTCGTATTAAAGGTGCGTCATATAATGAAAGCAAGAGTGGATGATCAACAACAGAGACAGCAACTAGGGCAAAGGCGGGAACAGAGACGGTGAAGAGACGGTCCTCTATATTCTAACTGCGGAACAACCTGTGTAAGTGAAGACTTTCAACATTGGAAGTCATGTCGGTGGCTTGGTATCTTCGCATCAGGATTCGCCTGCTATGGGATTTTTGTCGCTAGAGACCGCGAGAAGCGCCGATGTAGCGGCAGAAGGAACTTCGGTAATTAGACTGCTGCCTTGATGAGGTGTGATCCGCTAATGGCTCTTCAGCTGATACTTAAGCATGACTGCTTCCTTCGCGCAGCGCATCTGGCGAGAGCGGACACCAGCGAGCGCAATTAGAGATGCCGTACGAGTACCACCCGCTGCAGGACGCAGACATTCGCCTGCTCACGATCGAGCCTCTGGAGGATGGCGAAGACTTCTCAGCTCCCATCCGATGCACTCTCGAGCATGTCGATCTAGAAGCTGCAGCACGGGCTTCAGGCTTCAAGGGTCAGAATCACGTCTGGCCAGAGACCGAGTCGGCTCGCGATGTAGCTGCAATCTTCAAGGACCCCGAAGACGCGCAAGCCCTGGTACAAGTCGGTGATGCTACCAAAAGCGCCGAAGAACAATTGCCGGACTGGAAGAGTAACGACAACGACTTACCATGGAGGCACGACTGGGGCGACTTTCTCGCACTTTCTTACGTTTGGGGCGCGCCAACTCCAATTCAGTACATCCTCCTCAACGGCCATCAGTTTCCCGTCGGACCAAACCTATTCCAGGCTCTTCTGCAACTCCGTCCAAACGAGAGAATCCGCCAAGGTTTCAAACTGTGGATCGACGCCATCTGTATCAACCAAGAAGACATCGCAGAGAGAAGCGCGCAGGTCGGCCGCATGCGAGACATCTATGCGGCGGCGTGGCAGGTCGTGATCTGGCTAGGCCCAGAAGCTGATGACAGCGAGCTGGGAATGTCCGCTTTGAGCTGGGTTGCTGCTAGGAACAGAACTCCCTCCCCATACGATGGTTTCTACCGCGAAAGCACAAAGATCGATGCCCGTCCGCTGTTCATCATCTGGGGAACATTCAAAAGTCCTTTGAAGAAGACAGTCTACAAAGCGTTGTTTTCGCTACTTTCCAGGCCTTACTGGCAAAGGATGTGGATCTTGCAAGAGGTGGCCATGGCCCGTCCCGATGCACCAGTTGTCTGTGGCAAGAGTTGCTTGCCGTGGAGGGACATACACGAAGCCGCAACGTTCATTAGCAACGATGAGACGAGGTTCGGTCGTGAGCTTGTGGGCAGCACCCGGCCCAGGATCTTGGATTCTTGGTCGTTCGAGTTCGCGAGAGACAGAGTTGTGCAAGAGAGAGACTGGTCATCAGAGAGAATGTGGAATCTTCTAATGGACATGACCAAGGTCCAGGAGAACCAGAAGGAGATTGCACCTGAGGAAGACAGAAGGCACCCCTTTGAAATCTTACAGCCCCTCGTCTTAGCAAGAGACGCAAAGATCACAGAAGAGAAAGACAGAGTGTATGGTATCTTGGGTATCAGGGTGATTGCAGACAGGGTCGACATCACCCCCAACTACAAGCTTTCCATGGAGACGATATACCGCGACTTTACGGCGCAGCTTGTCTCAAAAGGCAACTTGGAAATACTTCGATTCGTGTCGAAAGACGGAGGCCGCATTCGAGCGCAGTGGAATCTGGAAGATGTTCCCTCCGCCTTAAGCTATCGAAAGCTGACACCCGTCGTTGGACCTGTGTTGAACTCCTTTTCGAGATCAGACAAGCAGAATTTGATAGGCGCGACTTGCCACCACGAACTCCCTACATGGGCTGTCTGCTGGACCTGCAAGCCAGCGCCCACAGCCCAGCTGCGAGGTCCTTATTGTGCAGGTGGTGTGGGAGGACTCTCACCTCCAATCATTTCGCCTGATGACCACAGCCTCACAGTTCAGGGGGTCATCTTCGACACTATTGGCAGCCTAGGCTCGTTTCATCCCGCAGAGGTCGATGACACTTACCCCCAGAATGCCATTCCGACCACCCACAGTGCTTATGGCGGACTCGAAGACACCAGAAATGCCTTGTGGCGTACTCTCCTTGGTGACACAACAGTAGACGGTGGCAGCCAAGCCTCAGAAGAGGGAGCCTGGTTGCTTGACCCCAAGCTTTGGAACCAAGGTGTTGCAGGTGTCTTCACCAACGGCTTCGGTCTTGACGAGCTCATGTCGCGGAATAAAAGGCTTGTTTTAGGCGGCCATACGTTAGAGCAACTCATCTCCGGTGTCGTCAAGTCTGGTTGGCGCCAGAAGATCAAGAGTACTGAGAGGATTTACAACCCGACTGAGGAGCAGCGTGAGGTGTTGTCTTGGGCGATGAATGCGACAGCCTGGAGAAGGCTCATTGGAACCACCGCAGGGAGGATTGGGCTTGTACCTGCTGCGGCCAGAGCTGAGGACAAGATTGCGGTCTTGCGAGGCTGTAGCACGCCGATCGTTCTCAGGGCTTCGGAAGACCGATGGGAGGTTGTTGGGGAATGCTATGTGCATGGAGTTATGAAAGGGGAGGTCACTTCTGGTGCAACAGACATGGGCCCCATCGTCCTGTGCTGAAAAGCTCAAGCAAGCTTCTAAATGGTATTTAAGAGACCACGCCAAGTCCTCTTGGGCTGATCAGGCTTATTTGCTCCTTCGCCAAGAAGCATACCAACCATGCTGCAGCTGAGACATTCAGCAGGCTTCAGTCACAGCCACAATTTGCTGTCCTCTAATCCCTTGATCCAAAAGACCAGGCTGCAAGGCGGCTCGCGACTTTCAAGAACTGAAAGTCAAGTTGTTCATCCCGAGGATCTTGAGTTCCTCACCCATGTAGTGCAAGGCTTCCTCATATACGTTCACCAACGACAGTCTTCGGCAAGTGTCCAATTTTGTTTCCGCCGCCTTCTGTTTGTCATCTTGAGAGTATTTCTGCCTGAAGGACGGCATGGAAGGCCACGCTTCCAGCAAGAAGCGACGGCACGATGATGAAGACGCCGAAGATGCCAAAGCGCAGGGCAAGAGAGCAAACGTCCAGAGTAAGGATGACCTCGACCGATACACCATAGGGTGGGTATGTGCTCTTTCGATAGAGCAGACGGCGGCGAGAGCGATGCTGGATGAAGAGTCTCAGGATGTTCACATCCGTAAGGCAGCCAACGACACCAACACATACACCCTAGGCTCCATCGGAAGACACATGATCGTCATAGCATGCCTCCCCAAGGGTCAGCTAGGCGTCGTCAGGGCCTCAAAGGTTGCGACGAGTATGACCTCAACCTTTCGAAACATCAAGTTTGTCCTGATGGTGGGTATTGGAGGTGGGGTTCCGTCCGGACCAAACAACGTCAGGCTCGGGGATGTTGTCGTCAGTACTCCGACAGGAGAGTATCCCGGTGTTGTTCAGTGGACTTTGGAAAGACGACGGACGGCAAATTCGAAAGGACCGGTTCGCTGAACAATCCACCAACATTGCTTCTCACGGCTCTCGCCAAGATGGAAAGCGATCACGAACTGGATGGATCAAAGATTCAAGAAAATTTGAACATCATGTTTAAGAAACGACCAAATCTAAAAGATAAATACGGGCGATCTGAAAAGCTTGAGGACGTCTTGTTCTCTGCAAGTTACAACCATGTCAATCACCCTTCAAACCCCAATTTGACTCAAAGTTCCGGGGGCGTTCAAGGGTCGCCGCAGGGAGGCACCGGCTGTCTGTATTGTGACCATTCGAAAGCGACGAAGAGAGAAGTTGGAGAGCCCGCTGTTCACTACGGCTTGATTGCTTCTGGAAGCCAGGTCATCAAGGATGCTGCCTACCGGGACGAAATCAATAAGAACCTTGACGGCAACACTCTATGCATAGAAATGGAAGCAGCTGGCCTTATGGACGATTTCCCGTGCCTGGTAATTCGTGGTATCTGCGACTATGCCGACTCTCACAAGAACGACGCCTGGCAGAAGCATGCAGCCGCGGTTGCTGCGGCCCTGACGAAAGAACTTCTGCAAAAGGTGCCACCAATAGAGGTTGACGGTCAGCGAACGGTTGTTGAAACGCTGGCTCAAGAGTTAAGAGAGAACTTGACAGACAGTCAGTTGAAAATTCGTCAAAAATTGAACATCCTGCAAATACTGACAGGGAGCGCAGTTCACTTCACAGCATTGGCTACCAGGAATGAACTAACGAAATTGGGTGCGCAAGCACAAAGAGACGAGACTGAAGTTATTCTTGAGTGGCTTACACCTATTGAGCATGGAATTCAACAAAGTGATTGCCTCAGAAGAAGACAACCCGGAACCGGAGAGTGGTTTCTGACGTCAACGGAGTATCTAACCTGGCTCAGCGCGGAGACCGAGTCGGACCATCAAGCCCTTTACTGCCCGGGCATACCCGGGGGAGGGAAGACAATAATTATGTCCGCGGTCATTAACGATATAAGCAAGCGTTTTGTCTCGCCCGGAACCGTCGGAATCGCGTACATCTACTGCAATTTCCAGCGAAAGGAGGACCAGACCCTGGAGTGCTTTCTGTCAAGCTTGATCAAACAACTTGCTCGAAGTCTAGGGGTTATACCGGACGGCCTTGTAAGGTTACACAAGGATAACCAGCGAGCGGGAACAGTGCCGTCCGCGCAGGAACTCTTCGACGTGCTTTGTCTGATTTGCGACTCCTATTCGACGCTGTTTTTCCTTATTGACGCACTTGATGAGTGCCAAGCCGATAGCTGCTCGGCTCTAATTTCGGCCTTGCTCAGCTTGCTAGCTAGGAGGTTGACGGTGGTCAAAATATTCGCAACATCAAGATTCGTTCCTGAGATCGAGAAGAGGTTCGATAAGGCTCTCAAACTCGAGATCAAAGCCACAAGTGAAGATATACATCGCTATATTCAACATCGACTGCCACAAATTCCGGTGCGTCTCACTGAAACCCCCGGTCTTCAGGATAGAATTACGGGCGAAATCTCAAATGTAGTTGATGGGATGTGAGTTTGTAGTTGGTGGATTGTGACTTCGTTTTCTTACGTTGTTCTAGGTTTCTGTTAGCGCAGCTTTATCTTGAAGCTCTAAAAGATGCTACCTCTGTCCGGGAAATCATCTCTGCCCTGGGAAGCTTCAAACACAAAGGCGTTGACAAAGTCGGAAACAAATGTCAACTGTCTCATGTTTACGACGAAGCATACAAAGATGCAATGAAGCGGATTCAGGGTCAAACACCAAACCGACGAGACCTTGGCACTAGGGTAGTGTCCTGGATCACCCACGTTTCACGCCCACTTACAGTCCTCGAGCTCCGGCATGCTCTTGCTGTGGACACGAATAAGAACGAAGTTGATTACGAGAACATTCGTGACGTTGACGTCGTACTTTCTGTGTGTGCAGGGCTTGTCACTATCGAAGACGAGAGCATGATTATTCGTCTAGTTCATTACACTGCTCAAGAGTTTTTCCAGAGAGCCAGCGAGACATACTTTCCAGGGTACCACGCCATCATGGCGAGTATCTGTGTCAAATATGTCTGCATTGTCTATCATAGTCCCGGATATCGAGATAGGTTCAACCTATGGGACAAATCATCGTCATACCCTTTTCTATCATACGCATCGCATGGATGGGGTTACCACACGGTGCAAGGATGCTGTCTTTGCAAGGATGTTGAGACTTTTCTCCTGCATCACGAAGATATTATGCAGAGCTTATCCTCGTTTAAGACTCTATCGACACTAACGTCCTCCTCGAAGAGGTTTCCTGAGTCAGGTCTTGGCTGGGCAGCCTTTTACGGCATCGACGAGGCCATTGATGTTTTCCGCCAGAAACGACGCGTGGTCAATGCCACAGACTCTTCAGGAATGGCGCCCATGTTTTATGCTGCGATCGAAGGCAAAATCACCTTTATGAGGTTGCTTTTCAAATTCAGCGCCAACCTGTCCCACAAGTCTCAGCACAATTTGTTACATTTGGCGGCTCGACTCGGAAACAGTGACGTCGTGGGGCTGCTACTCGAGCAGGGAGCGGACGCAGACCGTCAAGACTCGGACCAGAGGACGCCATTGATCATAGCTGTGGTTTCAAATCAGTTATCTGCTGCGAGAAAGCTGCTCCTTGGGGGCGCCCCCATTGGGACCCTAGGCAGAGGCGGCAGAACTGCCCTGCACGAGGCGGCGGTTTTTGATCGGGTTGATATTGCCGAGGTCTTGCTTCAATTTGGAGCTCAAGTTGAGTCGCATGATGACAAAGGTCAAACTCCGCTAGGAATTGCGGCTAGAAGCGGCAGCGAGGCTCTTGCTAGTCTCCTGCTTGCCCATGGCGGGCTTATAAACGCCGGGAGCAAGTTCGACAAGTCGCCACTGCTTCTTGCTCGACAGGATTGGATGATACAGTTGCTCATCGCCAAAAGCGGGCCGATTCATCCTAAGGCCTGTATTGATCACGCCAATGCACTGTACATCACCAGCAGTATCGGTAACATCAACAAGGTCAAGCAGTTGATTGCCACCGGCTTAAGCGAAGCGACCCTACGGGGGACGCACCTTGAAATAGCTTTACTCATGGCAATGAGATACCAACGCGCGAACATCGTCAACATCATCGTACAGGAGAGCACCAAAGTCGATTCCTTACACCACTTTGCCCTGATCTTTGCCATAGAGACCGGTCACCTGGACATAGCGGCTCGATTGATCAACAGATTTGGTTCCAATTTCGCCGAGAATCAAGTGGAGTTTCCAACGCAAAGATCTGCGCTATCCAGTGCATTGCAACACGGGTACACCGATGTTGCAAAACTGTTAGTAAAGAAGGATATCGGTCTTGATAGTATCCAAGGACACGAAGGCCAAAATGCATTACGACGCGCCTTAAATCATTCGTATTTCGATGCTGCGAGACTGCTGATCAAAGCGGGCGTTCATCTGCAAGACATTCCGAATTCACTATATCAAAAACTTCTAAACTCTGCTTTGAATCAGGGGTACCCAGACGTGGCTATGTTCTTGATTGGAGAAGGCGAACAATCTTTTGGAGAGAGTGCGCTTACCATTGCTATCGAAAGAGGATATTTGGATGTCGTTGACCTCTTAGTATACAGGGGAGAAGTTAACGACATGCAGAGAAATAGCTATCAGACTGTGCTTTTCGAGGCTATCGACAAGGATTACATAGATGCCGCAAAGGCTCTGTTCAAGAGTTGCACACAAATCGGGGCTCTGGGAGCGCCTACCCGGAAGACATTCCTTTTTAGGGCGGTCAGTCATGGCTCTGCCGAGTTCGCAAGATTCTTGATCGAAAATGGCGCGAGCATTGACGGCGGCCAGGGGCCCGGAAAAATGACGGTTCTTATCAGAGCTGTTGCAAATAATCTTTTGGATGTTGCCAAACTTCTAATTGAGAAAGGCGCAGAAGTTAACGGTGTTCAAGAGCCCGGCGGAAGGACGCCACTCTTCGTTACCGTTGAAAGAGCAACGCGGAAAGTCTCCATTGCCGACGAATATCTCGAAACAGCGAGCCTCATGATAGCGAGTGGCACAGAACTTGATGGCGTTCAAGGACCTGCTGGGCAGATGATCCTGTTCAAAGCTGCTATGGGTGGTGACAACGGGGGCAACATGACCAAGCTTCTTATAGACGCTGGAATTAACATCAAAGCTCAGGATGAGAATGGCCAGACGGCTCTCTTTCAAAGCACAGAAACTAGCGCAAGGTTACTGATCGAAAAGGGCGCAAATGTTAGAACCAGGGACAGGCTTGGACGAACCGCATTGCACGAACAATGTCGGCGTTGGCCCATCGCTTCCGTGGTGCCCGTGGTGCTCATGCTTCTCCAAAGTGGCGCCGATGTCAATGCGACAGACAGTAACGGTCTAAATCCGCTTTGTTTCGCGTGCGAAGTTGAAGCCACCGCATCTAACTTCCATCGACCTTACGATATCTTCAAGATCGATAACTACAAGATCGACAAGCGCTTTGTCGACGTCGTGGTGTGTCTAATCAATGCAGGAAGCGCACTGCCTAATGATAAGACGATGGCGAGGCAGGTGATGGATGGGCTATGCTTAGAAATGAGCACATTGACGAATCCTGAAGCCTTTGAGGAGGCGACGCAGAGGTTCAAGACGCTCGAGAAAAATGTAAGTCTGGCTCTTGTGTGCTCATACCAGTCTCTAGTAGACTAAGTTGATTCTATTCCACAGTTTCGGATTCTATTTCATCTTGACTACCCTAGTCCAATGGGTAGGTTTCATTACTTATGAAGCTGACTCCTCTGATGTGGTACCCCGGTGGGATGTGGGATATGACGTGGAAGCAACTGCTGGGCTGTGTAGCATCACACTATGCCATCCACACACAGACTGAGCACTGCAGATCAGCCCATATATATACTTTAGCAGGAAATCAATTACAAAACCACTGGTCACTGACTCGGCTTAGTTGACAGACGAGAATAGATTTCTTGATGGCCTTTATTCTAAGCCACACATCAATAACCATGTCAAGTCTGCGGTCTCCATACGTGAATCTGAATGGGAATTTGCGTCGGTGACCGGAATTTTGTTCAGAAAACTTCCCCGCAGGAGAGGATGGGGGTTCAAATAAACCAGAACATTTGAAGCTGTTTTCCTACTGGCGAGAGCAACGGCATAGGTGGGTTATGCTGGGCAGAGGCTCTCCGTTGAGTTTGGCCCTCAGCTGAAGTCATTGGAGTATTAGGGTAGACATGTATTAAACTGCATACAAAGGCAAAGAAAACGGAGGCAAAACACCCGAGTCACAAGACTGCCTCGTCTGAACCTGAATGACAGACTTATCCGGCAGAACTCAAGGTGCCATGAGATTGAACACTTCAGTGAAGTCGAGAGACCCCACCACCCAGCCAATCACAAAAACCCACCCTCATCTCCACTCAACGTCCGCCGCGCCCCACAAGGTGATCGCGCCCATTCTGCCTCCACCCACCGCCCAATCAAGTCTATATAAACATCGCCAGTCTCCCATCTTTTCAGACTTCTTTTCCTCTTCCTTTTTTCTTCATACTTACCTTATCTGGCCGTCTGGGGATCAAGAAATCCGGGCGGCAGAGAGGGAGGCCTGCATTGCACATCGCGGAGTCGACCTCTCTCGATTGCCCTTCGGGGCCATCGTGGGTGCAATTTTTGATATATTCTTCCAAATTGGAAATCACTTTTCATTGTGCTCGTCGCCTTTGCGCGGCGGTATGAAGAAGAGCTTGCCTTCCCCATCCTCATTTCACCTGCAAAAAAGACGCCGCCATTGTTAAAATTTGGCCTTATCCCTTCGGAGGAGGAATACTCCTCGCATTCCTTGCCTTCCATCGCGTCGTGTCTGCCGCCGACTGAACCCTCGCGCAGATGCTTTGGGTAGGCTGTGGTTCAGACTGCTCCGACGCAAAATTGCTGGCGTCGAAGCTAAACTAGCTGGAGGCAAAGAGTGTCGTGACCTGTGACGGGAATGTTCTTCAGACGGCGCGACTGGCGTCTACACGAACTTTTTCGTACGTTCGAGCGCGCCCACGAGTAGAAACCGCGAGGTGACGCCGCGGGTCTCCCCAGGCATACGCGTCCAGGGCAGCGCGTCAGGTCGTTCGTTACCTGGTCGATGAAGAACGTCTTTTAGGTCCTGACGCGCCTCGATTCCTGACGTGAATCCTGGGGCATTCTGTATCTAGCCGAGTCACACAAGCATCACCTCGCGTTCATGCAGGCGTGTCTCCCTACCTTGTTGCCCGTTGCACAAGGTCACAAATCGAGGCCATTGATGGGTCATGCAAAGTCTGCAGGCAAACGTGACCTCGCAGCCATACCTTTATAGCCTGCTTGAGCACATGTTTCACTGCGTTTCGCAAGGCAACAATGATTCAAAAGCAATCTGCGTGTTTCTGACCCGGGGTATAATTCCTGTCCACAAACGACCTCTTGTGCCAAAGGGCCTAGATATACAACGCGGTCCAAACGCGATAAAACCGAACGATAAACAACCTTTTTTACAATCTCCGGCCAAGCAAGTCCTACTCCTTCTGCGATCAATGTCATGATGCCGTAGAATGAAACCCATTAACGCCAAAAGGAAGCCTCAAGCACAGCCGGGCTCCTATCCCTGAATGCCCTCCCAAGTAATCTGCTCCGTAATCTCTCTGACGCTCAGTCCTGTAATGCTAAATACGGTCACGTCGAGCTCTTCATCTGACATGTCCTGCCCGACCTGCTTCTGACCCTCCAAAACGTCGTAGAGGGCGTAAATCTGGCCCTTCTTGACCTCCTCGGTCGTCATCATGACCTGGATATCTGCGTACAACTGCTTGCGCTTGGTCTCGCTGAGGGCGGGGTTGTGGCCGTCGTATCGAGCTTGCTTCTTCGCCCTGTCCATCTTCATGTGCTCCAATTCGTCCTCCAGTCCCTTGATGACCTTTGCCAGAGCGTGTCCAGGGGCCTGAGAGGGTCGTACAGTGTTGTCCTCTGTTGACATACCCAACTGCTTGTACTGTTCCGAGGGAGGAACTGGCCGGGAAATCTTGATGCGCTTCTTGCCCTCGGCGATATCGGCCGCAGTAACCGTTCCTCGATGAGCCTTGATGCGGGTGCAAACAATGCAGTTGGTGCAGCTGTGTCCCGACAAGCTATCCAGAACACGGCGCGCATCAGACGACAGACCAGGGCAGTTGCCCTTGATTTCGGTGGTCGTGTTGTCCAGTCCGCCTTGGGTGATCAGGTCGATTGTCGTCGACTTGTTCTGGGAGGGCTTGGCAGAAGACTTAACCGACACGCTCTTCTGGCTCTGGCTGGTCAAGTTGCGTGTGGTGTTCGTCGTCTCCTGGCGAACAGTACGAGACTTCGAGGAACCCTCCTTCCGGCTCTTCACATCGAGAACAATGGATTGAGTTTGAGTGTGTTCGGGCGATTGCATGTTGTCTTCATCGTCTGCCTGAAAGGGATCCAGGTCGGGGACAGAGCCGTTCTTGAGGGAGCTCTTGGAGGTGATGCGAGAGTTGCTGCTCCTCTTGCTGCCCTTGTTCGCGACATTCGAGGCCTTGGAGGTTTTGCTGGTTGATGCAGATCGATCAGGCAGAGAGAAGGCGACCTTCTGGCCTTGGCTCGAAGAGCTCCTGGCACGAGAGGTGGACGGGCGTGTCTTGGGACGAGACTCGGCGACTGAGCTCTGCTGGCTCTGGAAAGTGTCCTGGTCGTTGATACTGCGGTCTGTCTGCTCCGTCGTCTCGGTGATCTCAAGAGTCCTCTTACTAGGAGTAGCACGTCTCGGTGTCTCCTTTTCGCCAGTCATGTCGATGACTCTCGAGTTCTGCGTGCTGTCAATCGTAATGTCAGGCATGAAGAATGCCGAGGTCATGTTTTCCTCCTCCTCCTCCTCTTCTTCATCGTCCTCCGCTTCCTTGTTCTTGTCAACGCGCGCGGAGAACTCCTCGGTCTTACCCAGAGGGCGACAGTGGTCAAGTTGCTGCTTGAGTAACTCAATTTCCTCCTTGAGGCGCATGTTCTCGTCGTGAAGATCGTGGATGCTCTTCTCGAAGCCAGAGTTTTCGCGACGGAGAAGCTTGTTCTCGGTAAAGTATTTTTCGTTGTGGCGAACGAGGCTATCGTTGTCCTCCTTGAGAATACCCTTCTCCTGATCAAGAGTCTGAAGTTCTACCTGCAAAGCCTCAACCTCCTCATGAGCAGCTTGGATGTCTTCCTTGGAGGTCTCGGCAATTTGACGAAGTTCGTCGATCTCACTTCTGAGTGACCGGTTGTTGTTGCGCAGCGACCTGTTCTCCTCTATGAGAGACTCGTGGTCCCGACGCAAGATGTTGTTGTCCTTTCGCACCTCCTCCAGCTCTTGTTGCAAAGAATATTGTTCTCTGCGAAGGGTCTGGTTGTCTGCCTGAAGAGACTTGTTGTCCACTTGCAACACGTCGTTGCTGTGCTTGAAGCTCGACGTCTTCTGGATGGTTTCTCGGTTGTGGTTGATCTCCAGGGTGGCGTTAAGCTTCTCCTGTGTCTCATGAAGCTCCTTGCCTTGCATCTCAATCTTGTCCATCAGTTCGCCGATGTTGACGCAAGCTTCTGAGAGCTTCTTCAAGGCCCGATCTCTCTCGAGTGACAAAGTGTTGTTCTCAACCTCGCTAATGCCGATTCGGGTGGTCGCTTGGTCAAGCCGGGATTGGAGGGCCGTCAACTGGGACTCGATATCTACGTCTGGTTAGTCTTCCGTCTCGTCCTAGAATCAGGTCTACTTACGTGTCCTCTCAGTGTTGTACCGCTCGTTGGCGGCAGTCTCAGGCTCCGACTCTGTCCGAGAGCCGAGGGCACTATCATTCGCCTTGCGGCCCTTCAATCGCTTGAGCTCGCTTTGCAGATGGCCCACCTGGTCCTCGAGGTCCAGCGCATGTCTCTGCACCAGATCGTCATGCTCTTGGAGATTGCAAATCTCGTCCCGGATCATATCCAGGGATACAAACATCTTCTCCTCATCCTCGGGAATCGCCAGACCGTCAACCTCAGCATGATCCCTGGGCGGCAGGGTCTCGACGCGATCACGAACGCGGCCATTCTTCACAAAGACAGGCACGCCGTTCTTTACCGCGCCGTCGAAACGGAGGTTTCCAGAGATAAAGTCATTGAGGTGGGAGATGTCAGGCATGAAGAATGACCGGGAAGTGACGTTATTCTGGGCGGGGCTGTCGGTCGTCGCCGGTGATGGGAATGTATTCTTAATGGTATCGAAAGTAACGGGTGTAGCGTTGTTCGCTGGGGCGTTCTCGACTGGTGCTGGCTTGGGCGTTGCCTGCGTTGGAGGGGCGAGGAAGTCTGATTTCCGGCGTTCGTTCTTAGTAGCCATGGATGCCCGGCGGGCAGCCTTATAGTTACCAGAGGCCGTGCGTGAGTGCTTTGCGAGAGGGCTCTGATGTCGTTGTTGGTCGGGGTTGAAGCGGAAGTTGTCAGCATTAATGTCGAAACGGAAAGGTGATTTCGAGATGTTGGACGACAGATCGGACTCGTTGTCGACGCGGGGCTGCATCTCAGCGCGCGTCCTCCTAGAACCTTGCCAGGTGTTGTCGTCTTGTGTATCGTCGTCAAGATTAGAGAGATACTTTTGCACGATGCTCCTGTGAGATACGTCCTCTTTACGGCGTAGCGATCCGTTGGCCTTGGTGGCGGCCTTGTCAGTTTTTGTGTCGGCTTTCTTGGGCTTGCCGTAGAATTCAGGCCACTTGCGGTGAGCAGCTTCCAAGTCAACTTGAATCTTGCCGTTGTGACGGTTCGTGACGCGGGCGATTTCTTCGTTGAGTCTGCGCGTGGACTCGCCATCAGGGTCTGAAAAGACGGAAGTCATGGTCGGGCTGACAGTGCCGTGGGAGCCGGTGGAGGAAGGCGGGGAGTTGAAGGGGTTTTCGCGGTTGGCATTCATCTCCCTGAGAATGCGAGAGCGGTAGCGATTGTGTACTGGGTCGGTCTCCATGACTGCCCTTTCACGCGCCGGACGCGATTTCTAGGACGGCAGTCGACGAGGGGAAGGCAGGATGGTGAATGCACGTCGTTCGCGCAGCAGCAGCGGGAAAAGACGCGTCGGTGGCTCGGCCTTGGAGAGCGATTAATCGTAAAACTGCACTGAAGCAATACCGAGCAAGAGAAAGCTGCTCAAGGCATGAGGCGGGCACAATGGCTTTGCAGATTAAGGTATCAAGAATGGTGGTGGGATTGAGCTCGCGGGAAGAGGTTGGAGAAGGAGGAAGCGTTCAGCGTGAGTTGCAGGGATCGTTTGTTTACTTTCTACCACTGAAGCGTGTAAACAATTGGCTCGCGGCCGGAAGTGCAGCTTAGTGGGGCTGCCTGCCCTGCTTCCAGTGGCCCAGCGCACTGCATCAGCGAATCACCGCTAACATTTGGGCCTCAGCGGCGGAATCGCGTCCTGCACGCTGCTGCAAGACACACAAAGAGCGTGTCCTTTGTCTGCGGGCCACCGAGTCATCCTGGACGCGAACACTCAAAATCTAAGCTGAGAGTTGGATTTCCCATTTCCCCAGAATTTCGACACTTTTTTGAAGCCTCTTGTCGATGGCACAGAAATGCTCAAATGTGTTTAATTACGTAGCCCTGTGCTCGTTTCCGGCCCATTCCTCAGATCCCCACCACAAACAGGGCCATAGGGCCATCTTGTTTCCGTGTGCGTCGGTGAGAACACACTCAGGTGGTGCTCGGACCAAGCGTAGGCACTGCCCGAACTGGCTTCGAGGCTCCTTCCTTCCGAGGATGGAAGAAGTTCAGGGTTCCCGCTAGCAGCATCGCTGCGGCCAATCGAGCACGGGAGCACCCTTCCACACCACATGCCTCTTAGTCAAGTTCATGAGACAGAATACTAGTGCGGTCGAGCACCGCTGAGAGAATGATTCTAGAGAGAACGACTCATTGCGTTTCACCCTAGCGCATTCCTCAGGGTTCTCTCCAACGGCCTTGCCCAACATCTGAACATCTCAACGACCACTCCCCGCGGCCCAAGACAAAGCCAGTCAAGGTATCCTACCTATATCAGTTATTGCTAATTCTCAACGGCCTCATGGCTTGCGGTAGAGTTTCCGATGGCCATGTCCGAGGACAGTAAGTAAGTCACCAGGCCCACCAGGCTCTCGCCAGACATCGGCAGGTGATCACGCCGTCGGTGGGCTGTGCCATCGTGGACTTCACACCGCCGAAGAAGTTGGGCCGCGCATGAGATGTCGGTTTAGGTGGGACGGATGCAATACTCGACCTGTTGCTCAAGTGTTCAAGACTCGTGACCATTCCCTCAAAACTGCATAGCATCTACTGGGTAGATGGCTACACCACATCTGTGACAGTGAATCGTTAGCGACCTTCAGCAGCAGAGAACGAGGTACACTTTGATGCCCGGAAAACCTGCTGGTTTTCTGCAGTCACTGTCACTGACAGTCTACAGAGCGCAGGGTCTTGGCGGCTCCAGACATCCCCCGCATGAGCAAGGTCTAGCGGCCGCCCCCTTTCCGAAGGAGGTGACCACCTCCCCCTCGGTGCACCATTCTGCGACCACTCGAGTGCCTCGTGCCGGTGGATCTTACCTGGTAAAGTGGGCTTTCCTTGGCTGGGTGCATGGCCTCGCCGCCATCGCCAAACCGCCCGGCTATTCAGCGCTGCCATCCTCTGCCTCGATGCCCTGCCACTCCCTCTAACAACCCTCACTTCTGGCTTTGTTCCTTCGTTCATAATCAATCGCTTGTCGCGGACCCTCTGCTTGCCTGCTGCATCCTTTTGGTCCTTCGACATTCGCTCAGGCGACACCGAATCCCTTCTGAACATGGCAGTGCGCTGCTGTACATGAGCGGCCTTTTCGAGAGCTCGTTGCTCGTTTTCTTGAACATAGATTATCCCTTTCGAACCCCGCCATCATGGCTCGATCGACCTTCCGATTGTCCGCGGGCTGCCTCGCATTGCTTGCTTTGGCTTCCTCGTCGACGACCCTCGCTGCGGCTACACCCCCGAATGCGCCCAAATCATACTGCCCCATCTTCTACTCCGAATCCCGGCCATCCTCCGATTGCGAAGCCAAACAACCAGCGACCTTCCTCCAGACGCCCCAGTCTGCGAGGAGGGCTTCGCTAAATACAGAAAAGATTAAAAATGAGCCCCTCGAGGCTGCATTTGAGGCCCTGACGGTCATGCAACATGACTTCTTCGTGCCTGATCAAGGGACGTGGCCTGCAGCCATCGACTGGACTGCTGCAGTCATGGAGACGATGCTCTCAGGTGCTCTGACTTCATTGTCGCAAGCATTGGCTGTCCTAGACTTTGGCGGACACTCTGACAAGGGTGCCAAACGAAACTTGATAGACACATTCTTTACCCAACTCGTGGCCTCATATTTTGGCCAAGATGATGTTGCAATTCGTCACCAGGTGAGTTTTCTCCAATATTCAAAGCCAATGGAGCAAGCCAGGTCTGACTTGCTCGCAGGCCTTCGACGATATTCTTTGGGTTGTCCTCGGCTGGGTTGACGCCATGAAATTTATCGACATTCACACCGAGTTATTCTATCCTCGGCCTGGGCTCAATGAGAGCGCAACGCCCGGTCTCGGAGATGCGCTTCAGAACGGCCCCTGGCACGGCCAATTTTGGATTCCTTCTTTTGCCCATAGAGCTAGAATCTTTTGGGACCTGGCATCCAAGGGCTGGGACACTCAACTTTGCGGCGGTGGCATGAACTGGAACCCTAGGTTGGAGCCTTACAAGAACGCCATCACCAACGAGCTGTGGATTTCTGCCTCTATCCAGATGTATCTCTGGTTCCCGGGGGACAACAACACGACCCCTTGGATCAACAGCGTGAGTGGTGTGAAAGCCACGCGGGAGCCCAAGTACCTTGCTGCTGCCATTGAAGGCTACAAGTGGCTCACTGGCGTCAACATGACCAACGAGGCTGGCCTGTACGTTGATGGCTATCACGTCGATAGGTCCAAGCCTGGAAATACCAACTGTGATCAGCGCAGTGAGGCAGTCTTCACTTACAACCAGGGCGTTCTCTTGACCGGCCAACGAGGTTTATGGGCTGCCACAGGAAGCGCAACGTATCTCGAAGACGGTCACAGACTGATCCAAGCCGTCATAAAGGCATCTGGCTGGGATTTGGCATCTGATAAGCCAGTTGATGACCTTTCAAACCTTCCTCCGGGATATCTGCCCCCTTGGCGGGGACTAGGCCGTGGCGGCATTATGGAAGACCGATGCGATGCCAGCGCAACCTGCTCGCAAGACGGACAAACCTTCAAGGGCATCTTCTTCCACCATTTTGTCGCGTTCTGCCAGCACCTCGACCCAGCAGATGTCCAGCAAGGCATGACTGTGAACGTGCAAGCGTACGAGCGTATCAAGATGGCCCATGGATCCGCGTGTCAGGCGTACTCAAAGTGGATAGAGCACAACGCAAAGGCGGCTCTCCTGAGCAGAGACCGCGAGGGCCGCTTCGGCACCTGGTGGGGTGCAGGCATCTTCCAGGGCGTGACGCCAACGATGGAGACGGACGGCGTCCCTGACAACGAGCCAAACGTGACCGATTACCGCAACTACGGACTCCCGCATGATGGCGTCTGGGCCAACGGAAATCCAGATAAGGTGTGGGCACCTAACGGCGCGGCGAAACTGAACCAGACCAGGAGCTATGTGCTGGTTGGTGGCCAGGAACAATCTGGACAGCAAGTGTTAGATCACTCAAATGGACAGGGACCGCGAGAAGAAGCGGACGTAGACGGAACCGAGCGGCGAGATCCCGCTGCGGCGACGGCGGCGGCGGGTACGAGCGGCGATCCGAACGACCGCGGGAGGGGTAGGACCCCCGAGACGCAGAACGGCGGCATGGCCCTCATGCGGGCCTGGTGGGAGCTCTCCAAGGGCACTCGCGAACAACAGCGCGCTGGACGAAGATGAAGTCACGAAGTATTGGATAGCACATTGCCTTCTTTTTGGGCCTATGAAGTATAGATGAGTACCGTTAAAACGCATGCACAGCCGCCGGACGGTTTAAACGAACGGCCTCCTTACTTTTTGGACACATCTGCCTTGCAGTTTACCCCCCGGCGCTAGCTACACCTGTGATTTCGTGCGTCAACGTGCTTGCTGCGTGCTTGCTGCATCGTCGATTCTAATCGGGCATCCCGTATCGTTTCTTGGGATTACTCTGATCGCGCACGCTGCCTCCGCGGCGGCCCCTTGTTCTGAAGGAATGTCTCTGGCGCTGACACTAGCTCACCACGCCCACGCGATTGGTCCAGCAGCCGAGTGCGAAAAGCTGACGTCCCTCGCAGAGGTCTCCCGTGGCTGGTCGAGCCCGACTCTCCATTGTCTGCTGGCGACCGGGGTGCGCGACTGGACGCACCCGGCAACTCGGTGCCGGCGGGCCCACTTGGTTCGCCGTGGCTTGGCAGCGCCCTCGCCCGCGCCTCAGTGCGGTCCTCTGGGGTCGCGGGACGCTTTCGAATGGGTTTCCCAATCGGGAGGTTGATGGCTTTGGAGGGCGGCGGCATCATGGCGTTTGGGTCTGTTGTTGAAGAGGGTTAGGTTTATAAAGGACGACGAAGGTCGCCGACGATGGGAAATTTGGGGGCATCAGCATCAGCATCAGCATCATCGTCTTCACCAGCTTTTATACTCCTCTACGCAAAATCATCAAGCAACTCTTCTTCTGAGACGCTATTCACTGCCTGTTTTCACATCGTGACTGCATCACGCACTCATTCCACACTTCACCAAACCAAAACAACCACACAACCACAAATGGGTCTCATCACCGGTCTTGTCTCAACAGTCGTCCACGTCGCCGCCGGCAGGAACCCCTACGGCCACAACCACAACCAGCAGCCCGTCGTCACGACCGCCGGCTACGCACCTGCCGGCCCCTCCGGCTGCAACCACGCCGGGCCCGGCGGCCAGCCCTGCGGCATCTGCTCCGTGGCCCTGCCCTTCGGTAAGGGGCGCCAGCAGAAGAGGGAGCGCCGCGCGCAGAGACACGCCGCCAAGGCGCAGCGCTTCTCGGGCGGACGGTACCCCGCGTACGTCCCCGGCGGGATGCAGTACCAGTACCAGCAGCAGTACGTCGGCGGACCGGAGGTGTACCGCGGCGGCAGTATGAGGCAGGAGGAGGGTGTTTGGGAGGAGAGGAGGAGAGCTTCGACTGGTGCCGACGACGCGCCGCCGGCCTATGAGGAGGGGGAGTCGTCGAGGGTGATGGCTAGGAGGAGCGTGGAGGTTCTTGGGGATGGTGATGAGAAGCATGAGTTGGAGTAGAGGCTTACGATGCTGTTTTCATAAGTAGTCATTCAGCGAGCGAGCACGGCGTTGATTAGATTGGGGTCAATATCATTCCTTGGTTCATTTCACCTTTTATTCTTTTCCTTGCTCGATCTTGTCTACTCCACAGATGCCCAGATGCTGTTCGTGAATGCTGATGTACAATGGTGACGCCGGGGATGTTTTCACCAACCGTCCTAAATCCCCTGCCAACTTTTTCCCCTGATGAAAGACCCCGGGATTTTCGCCCTGGTGGGTGACTTTATTCCTCGTCCACATGATGCGAAAAAAGAAGCTCGCTTCCTCCCTAAGATATGTATGCGGTCATGGAAAACAACAGTCTACCTCTGGCCAGCAAGGCGACGGCTTTGGACCTCGCCGAGGGCCTTGGAGCCGCTGAGGAAGATGGAGACACCGACAATGCCGATGACGGGCAGGGTCTGGAAGAGGTTCCAGGTGCTGTAGTAGAGGAAGAAGACACCCTCCATGGCGACGATAGAGCCGAAGAAGGCGGCGTGGGAGACGGGGGCCGCGCCGAGGGCCTTGGAGAGGTGGTTGAAGTTGGCGCCGAGAGAGAGCCACTAGGAAGGTAGTCAAGTCAGCATCTGGTCATCCACAGTCGTATATAAGGATGGAGAACGTACGCCCACGACAAGAACGGGAATCGTGGCCAAAACGGCCATGACGAAGGCCAGCGAGATGATCTTGGGAGGGCTGCGGGGGTCCTCGCGGAAGATGTGGTTGATCTCGGGCTGCTTGCCGTAGCGGATGGGAGCGTCGTAGGTCGGTGCAGGGGCAGAGGCGTCGCGCTTCACGTCGAGGTCGAAGACGGTAGTGTCGAGGGCCTTGGAGGCGCCGAAGGAGCCGATGACGATGCTGGCGCGGAGGGGCTTGGTGGCCAGGAGGTGCTGGACGGGGAGGTCCTTCTGGGCCTGTGAAAGATGTAAGCGGGCTGGCAATGCGATCAAGAAAGAGCCTTTAACGTACGACATCAACGACGCCGCGTCCGTTCTCCTTGAGCTCCAGAGGGAAAGGAGCCTCGAGGCCACTCTCGGTCTCCTTGAGGATCAGGAAAGCCTGGTGCGGGCGCTTGGCCTTGTCACCCTCCTTGGCAGTGATGATGACCTTGAGGGAGTCCTTAGCTCCGAGGGAGAGGGCGGTCTTGAGAGGAGAGGTCGCGCTCAGCCTGTCGATGTGTCTCGTCAGCAATTGGGTCGAGATCGAGGGTATTCCGTCGCCCGCGAGAGCTCCAGCACCAGCTTCACTTACTTCTCCTTGGTGGCATCCTTGCCCTTTCCAGAGACAGAGACAGTGGCACTGTCAAATCCCCATGATGAAGCGGCCTGCGCGGCACCGGCCGCAAACAGCGCGAGGGCTGGCGTCAAGGAGTGGAGGAATCGCATTGTTGCTGGTTGGGCGGCTTGTCTGTTGCAGCTTGTAGCTGGAGCTTCGACATCGCCAGGTGCTGCTGCACTTATGGACAGCTTTCGTGTCCATTACGAACTACCGATTGGCGCACGGGCCAGGCACAGCGGGACCCTTGTACGGTGCTTAAGTGATCAGCACTGTGTTGAGCACTGTACATGGAGGGCATGGTGAAAGCAACGTCAATTATGATTGGGATGGATATAGTTAGGGACATGTTTTGCTGATTGAACTGAAATACAAATACAATAATACCAAGTTAATGAGTGACTATATTGAGACCATAGTTCCGTGATTATCTTCCAGTATCTAAAAAAACGGAAGGTTTTGGGAGACTTGCGATGGAGTCACCTGCAATTGACATGCACATGATGTATATCTACAAAATGTGGCAAGAAATTTTGATGCAGTTGAAATTGGCGCCTTAAAGCTCTGATTGAGAACGATGTCACCTGGTTGTATTGAGATATTGACTCAAATCTGACGGTCTATGCATGCATACGTCTCCAACACAAGCATAGCTGCTTGCCGAGACTTCAAACCACGACTCCATCTACATGAACCAGAACTTGCTGTCTAAATGCCACAAAATTCAAAGCTCGTCATGAGCCGTCTCAGACTCCGCGATTTTCGGGAGGAACTCATCAACCTCCATCCACTCAGCCGCAAACACCGTGATAATGCGTGCCCAGTCACGAACGGTGGGCAGATCCAGGTGGTCGCCATCATCCGTAATCTTGTGCCACACGTCCGGGAACGGTGTAGGAATGATGTGCAGAATCTCAACACCGCGCTCCATGAACGGCACATGATCGTCCAGAACGTATCCCTGGCTCAATCCACCGTTCTTCTTGTTCTTGTCCACGAGGAAAGGGCGTTTCGGATCGGACTCAAGCACACCGAGCTTGCGCATGCGGTCTTCAATCTTGGCCATTTTCTTGTACGCCCAGTGGGTAGAAGCAAAATATGAGGGGATTCGCGGGTTTGGGGCGCCCAGCAAGTCGATGAGGAGGAAGAGGCTGATGGACGAAAGTCCGGTCTTGTAGATCGAGTTGGGGTGTATTTCGGACTCCCAGCTTTGGGCAAGAGCTCTGGCTCATGTTAGACGGTTCAACAGCAACACTCAGAATGATGACATACCTGGCTCCGTAGAGCGAATCGGTATCGGTCCATGAAACCCAAGCCTCCTCTCCGTCAAGAAGGATGATCTGGATTCCCTTCTCCTCCTCGAGTCCATTTCCAGCATCGCCCGAAGCCTCCATGGCCTTCCACTTCTTCACGAGCGCATCTTCGATGCTCCTGGCGGCGTGGAGCAGCATCGCACAAGGTGCCGCGCTGTCAATGGCTCCGATGAAGCCATCAGGATGGACCAGACTATCGTAGTGTGCAACAAGCGTCAGGCGCTCGACCTCGCCGTCCTTTGTCCAAGGGGGGTCGCGGCGGAAGATGAGGTTGGTGAAGGGTATGTCCTTGTCCCCAGTCGCAGGCGTCTTGGAGGTTGAGTTGTGCCACTCGATCGTCCACTCGGGCAAATGCGCGCGGAAGAAGTCGACAAAGTGCTGCTGCACCTTGGCCGAGCCGGGGGTGCCGGGGACGCGAGGGATAAGGATCGGCGCCAGCAGGGAGCCGGTATGGATATCGAAGCTGTCGCCGCCGGAGGGGATCGCGCGGAGGGCCTCGTCGCCAACCTCGGTGTAGGCCGTCGCGGGGGTGAAAAGCGAGCAGAGGACGAGGAGGATGGACCCAACGAGGGGTAGCTTCGGGAGGGAGGTCAACAGACCCATCGTGGCAGGGACAAGGTCGGCAGCAGCAGGTTCATGCTGCTGCTTCTCGTGGCCGGTGGAAAAGCAAGGTTTTGTTGTGTGTGCTGATGTGTCGCTCGGCGGCTTCTTGCGAGAGGAGCCGTCAGGTTGCGACAACCATGTTGGGCGGGGAGAAAGGTGTCAAGTGGGAGAGGAGACCCTGAGGTCGAAATGCGACTCAGGTCCACGCCGGGTCCATGTCCCCGCCAAAGGGCACCAGCGGACGGTGCTTGCTGGGAAATATTCCGATAGCGGCTCCACCCACGGAGTTAGACCCACCGTTCCGGCTTCCCTAATGGTCCTAGGCGATTCTGGGGTCGTCAAACTGCCGGGCGGACCATCTGAGCAGCCAATTCAATCATCAACCTCTTTTCAATGATAACTGAGATTGAAATCCGTAATTACGTCTGACTCCAGAGGACCAGACGTCTGCTTAATTCCTCGCAAAGTCCTAGGCCAATGAGGTATGCCAGTGTCGGCCGAACCAAGCCATCGGTTCGCACTCTAAACTCCAACGGACGAATCACATCGCCTATCGCCGACAGCCAGTCAAGCTCATGGTGATCTTCGGCGTTAACCCATGGCTGCCATTCGCGGCGCTTACACCAATGGCGATCAGTGGCATCAAGCCTCAGTTACACCATAGCAGTCAGATTCCTTAGCATGAATCGAAAGGGATGCCAACAGTCACACAGGTGCTCTCAGACAGGTTAACGCCGCTGCACCACCTCGTCTAAGAAGTAAGCGAAGTGAAGTTATCGCCGTGTGGCTTCACCAATGACTAGGACTTGGGATCTGACATACAGCAGCCACAACAGCCTAAACGATTTGCGTCCTTCTCATGGCCATGGATATGGAGTGAGTTTTGTATTAAAGATGATGGTTTTCCCTCAGAAATTGAATTTCCCAGCATCATCACTCTCACTTACAGCTCTTACCTTGTATACTCAAGCCAAGCTACATAACAACCCTTGAATCTTTTACCAGTCAAACAGCTTATCGCAGACTACTCCTAGAATCATCCCAAATCAAAATGGAATCTCCAGTCTGGTTCATCACTGGCGCCTCTTCAGGTTTTGGCTTCGAAATCGCCAAGGAGGCCCTCGCTCGCGGCCACAAGGTCATCGCGACCGCGCGAAACCCGTCCAAGATTTCTGCTCTCGCCTCCTCGGGTGTTGACCTGCTCCCCTTGGACGTCACCGCCGACGAGGCTTCTGTCACCGACACTGTCAACAAGGCCTTCGCACTCCACGGTAAAGTCACCCACGTCATCAACTCTGCCGGCTACGTCCTCGACGGCACGGTCGAGGAGGCCGATGCCAAAGAAGCCTTCGATCAATTCAACACCAACGTTCTCGGCACTCTGAAAGTCTGCCGTGCCGCTGCTCCTCACTTGCGAGCTCAGGGCTTCGGCGTCGTTGTCAACATTGGCAGTCTTGGCACCTGGGAGAGCTGCGCTGCTGCCGGGCTGTACTGCGCAACGAAGGCGGCCGTGAGCAACCTGACGGAAGCCTTCCGCGATGAACTCAGCCCATTCGGTGTTGACGTCTGCGCGCTCGAACCAGGCTACTTTCGCACCGGATTCCTCAACCCTGGCGCTCGCATCAAGGCCAAGGTAGACTTGGATGCGTACCAAACTGGCCCCGCTGGCAACTACAAGAAGTTGCTCAACGATGCAGACAACCATCAGCCTGGTGATCCAGTCAAGGGAGCCCATGTCGTTGTGGACGTTTTCACCAAGTCTGGTGTTGCTGGGGGTAGAGAGATCCCCATCAGACTGGTTCTTGGTACAGACTGCCTGGCTGCGGTGCGGAAGAAGTGCCAGGAGACGCTTGCGTTGATGGATGAGTGGGAGTCGATCACGACCACGACTGACTTTTAGACGAAGCACATCGTAATAGTTGGTTGTCAGGATGGAACATCTAAAACTATATTTCGGGTTATCTCATAATATAATATGTGTCTACGATCATCTCAGGGCTTTTCTTCCCAGTGTTAAGTGGATGCTGCCATGAAATTTCAACTCATTTACTTATTGAACCTTTTGGAACTGAAGACGCCCGCTTAACTTGACCTTTGGAAGATCGTGTCAAGTTTCTGGGCCCTTGAAGCTCAATGACAAGAAAGGGAAAGTGATTCTCACGTGGTATCTCGTGTGTAAGTTGTGCTTGTTTGAAATTTCTGGCAAAATAATGAAACGATTCCTGTCATCCAAGCAGGTAATTCTACTTTATTGAGCAAATTCAATACTTGCTTTCCACGCCCATTATCCTCCTTATCTACTGTGTAAAGTCAAACTTGAAGATACATCGCCGAAAATGAGCACTGCAGATAAACACCACAAAGGGCGTCACGCATGCAAACCTTGAGCAATGGATAAAATCCTTAAGAGATCAAGACAACACAACATATCATTGATATTGAAGCACTGAGATTGATACTTTTGTCTCTTCTACAAGTTTCAATACATGATATATGCAGCTTTCTGCGGCAAGGGCATGGCAAACATTTACAGAAATCGTATATTGCGCATTTTTTCCACGCAAGAAGGGGGAAATAACACTACCGGAATGTTTACGGTACTTCCGAAGCTGTGATACTTGATGTATGGATGGTGTACCTGAAACATAAAAATGTTCTACTCTACTAACTTTCACAGCTAATGATCTAATCGAGTGCTGCCTTATGTTCAAAAGTGTGACAGAGAACACAGATTCTAGCGATATCAAATATACAAATCTACAATTCAGTGTTGAAAATCGTTGCGCGGCCTAATACCTGCCCACTTGAGATCGAGACAAGCTCGGGCAAAGTGTATTATCTTCTCAAGGTATAAAGAGCAGTTCTTCGATCGATATTGCTTGTTAATTCCTCATTTAATCTCAACCAGGAATAAAGATTCAACTCTTCTTGTAGTTGAACTTTGAACTTGGGAATAGTAAAAGGAACCAACCAGCGTTGAGGTAAACCTGGGAAAACCCTCACGTTCGACACATATGATTGGTCTGTTCGTAATTTGACATGTACCGGACAAAGTCCTTGACATTACGAGGTTCATCACGTCTAAATATACGATTGTACGTCCATACACAAGGACTCTCAGCGGACCGGTGTACATGTGTGGGCAAGATCAATCAGAAAGCAGGGTAGCTGGAATGCTCAGAGACTGGCCCTGATCATGGCGACCTTCAACTTGAGCTGATATCGATTATGAGAAAGTTGCAAAAGCAAACAAGACCAACGAATCCTACCTCAGCATTGGTTTCTGGGGTCAGTGACATGTTTTTGAATCAGGGTTGGTTAAGCAGGTGATGTGGCTCGCGCGCGCGGGGCAAAATGACGGAATTCGCAAAGAGGCCCTCGCACTTCGGACTCCCATTTCGTTTATCAGCCGGTCGAAAAGGGGAATCTTTCTGCGCTGGGAAAATGCCGTGTCGGACCCCGTTCGGTCGAGCAGATCAATTTGGAGCATCCCGTCATCCGTTTCGGCTGGTACTGCGTCCGCCGCAAGATCTGCTCCGTTGCCGCTTCGGGTGCAAGGGATCACCCGAAAAGACTTTCCCGAGACGGGGTCCTACGGTTGTACTGATAAGGCCGTCGGGTGGGATGCCCAAATCCTAGCGTCAGGAGAAATGACACCGAGACAGCATGTTCTAGAAACCGCCAGGGGGCTTTGACGAAAGATCCAATCGAAGCTGTTCCGGAAGAAACCCACGTCTGAGCCGCAGGCAAAATGGAGGCCTGGGGACCTCTTGGAGACCCGTCTGCCAGAGTAAGATTCGTCGTCCCGCCAAAATGACCCAGGTACTGCGTGTCGTAAATCTCTTCTCGGGTTTAAGAGTGCGTTGACCCCGGCCCCTCTTGTCAATGACGAATTTGACCTAGGTAACATCCCCTTGCCGGCAGCTGAAGCCGTGGGGACGACTCCTTTGGTGAACCCTAATATGAGCCATACGCAAGGTTGATATCTGATCGAGGGGCACAACCCCTGGAAGTGATATCGAAAGGTGGTGTCCCGAAGGAGAAAGGCCGGCAGACCCACTCATGCGCCGCTCGTAGCGGCATCACGGCTTACAAATGGAGGGAGGCGCCCTTTGCGGTGTTGCAAGCGGACCCCGAAGGGATGGAGCTTTTCTCCTAGAGCGAAAGGCTGTGATTAGGCAAAGAGTTGAGAGCCCGGACTGGTGCACTCAGGGGGCAGTCCCTGCCACACCCGCCGCCGTGCATGTAGCGAGTGTTGTTGAGTCAACTGGCGGACTGAGACGGTCTTTCGCATTCGCGTTGCATATTTGTACTTTTGTACTTCCCGTAAATCGACCATGTGAATCGAGACTGGATGAGGTGTAAGTGAATGTAACGGTAGAAGGGAAAGATAGAATAGTCAGGGAATTCCCACTTAACCTTGGCTCCCATTTGTGATATTGAAGATATTGAGAAGCCCGCGTCAATGAACCAATTGAGCACCCATCCTTGGGGTTACTCCAAAATCGAGCGTGAAACTTGACGGGTGTAAGTGTTTGCCAGACAATCGGGTCCGGACCCAACAGACAGCAAGTGTGGATAGCGGTGCGGCACGCGTGCAAGCACGTCCAAGAAATAAAGATCAAACGAACTGGTGGTCCTTTTAAAGGCCACTGCCGGGAGTCAGGTTGGATTTAGACGTTGGGGAATCTGGACTTCTCGGTAAAAATACGGGGTCAGCGGCGTCCGCGTCGGGGCACTTGAGGACCCCGATCGTCCGCCCGCGCGGACCCACACCCACCTTCCGCCTCCTGGACGACATGGCGGGCTTTTTACGTGAGGATCATCGCCAAGGCGGCCCGCCTCTATCGAGACCCATCCCACTTACACGCAGTCCAGGCAAGGCTTGCAGACAACCAACAACATGCAGGCATTTTCAAGACCAGGTTCACGTCCAGCTGCAGCAAACAACACATGGCCCCCTTTACTACGTCAAAAGCGTGAGATTTGGCTCATTCGGCGCACGGAAGACCCGGGGCGCTGGATCCAAATTGACAGCCCGGATTTTGAGATGGACCCCTTACGTATTATGGACCGTGGACCTACGGGGACCAGAGACACTCCGTGATGCTCATGATAAATCTAGAACTAGCCTTATTATACATGCCATGTTTCAAGTCTTCAGGCACATCTCTGCTTGCTTTTCCTCTTAACCTTACACAACTTACACTACTTTAAAGTCCTCTTAACAGGCCTTCTTCCTAATTACCTTATTGTTTACTTGAAGGCTGTCTACGGCACGTCGAGCGCACACCTGGTTGATGCTGATCGGTGAGCTTCGCTGCCTTCTCACGTGCGATGTGGAGGATCCAGGACTGACATTATACTTCCAGGGTAGCAAGATACACTTGCAGCCGCTCCATCAGCCAGACGCCCCTTTCCAATCAAACGACTATCGTACATAATATCACATCATGTCTGCGCCAAACATCCCCTTCAATAACGACCACACGGCGCGTGTGGCCGGAGACACTGGGAGCCAGAAGACCTTTGTCAACGAGCACGACGCCATTTCAACATCGAACGAGAAGCCCCCGGTTTCGAAGGCGGTTGAGAGCAGCTCCTCTGCGTCGACTTCAGATGAGGATGGAAACGACACCGAGTTGGAACGCCGCCATTCCATCGTTCAGGAACTCGCCCGAGAGTACACCCGGCACTCAGCAGTAAACATTGGCGACAACAACCACGCTCTATTTGGCAGTGATGATGTTGACAGCCCACTCAACCCTCATGGTTCGAAATTTAACGCCCGCAAGTGGGCAAAGACTCTCGCCAACGTGACGAATGAGCACGGTTCTGGGTTTCGCAAGGCGGGTTTCGCGTTCCAGAACCTAAATGTTTTCGGTTACGGCCAGGAGACGGATTACCAAAAGGATGTCGGCAACGTTTGGTTGGAGCTTCCCAGTATCACCCGCAAACTCACCTTAAAGACGGGAGGTCAGCGTCGCATCGACATTCTTCGCGATTTCAACGGTGTTGTTGAGGCAGGTGAAATGCTCGTTGTCCTAGGACCTCCTGGATCTGGCTGCTCGACCTTCCTCAAGACCATCGCCGGCGAGACCAACGGCATCTACACCGACGAGCGCGCCTACTTCAACTACCAGGGTATCTCCGCCAAGGAACTCCACAAGCACCACGCCGGTGATGCCATCTATACCGCTGAAGTCGATGTGCACTTCCCTCAGCTTTCTGTCGGCGACACGCTCACATTCGCTTCGCGGGCACGCTGCCCTCGCAACCTCCCTCCCGGCATCACCAGCGCCCAGTACTGCGACCATCTCCGCGACGTTGTCATGGCCATGTACGGCATCAGCCACACTATCAACACTCGTGTGGGCAACGAATACATCCGTGGCGTTTCCGGTGGTGAGCGTAAGAGAGTAACCATCGCGGAAGCCACCTTGGCCAACGCACCCTTGCAGTGTTGGGATAACTCCACGAGAGGTCTCGACTCAGCCAACGCCGTCGAGTTCTGCAAGACCCTCCGCTTGCAGTCAGAGCTTTTCGGCCAGACCTGTGCCGTCTCGATCTACCAGGCGCCTCAGAGCGCGTACGATCTTTTCGACAAGGTTCTCGTCCTCTACGAGGGTCGTCAGATTTTCTTCGGCCGCACCACCGACGCCAGACAGTACTTCATCAACCTCGGTTTCGAGTGCCCCGCGCGCCAGACGACACCCGACTTCCTCACCTCGATGACTGCGCCTTCCGAGCGTGTTGTGCGTCCTGGATTCGAAGGTCGTGTGCCCCGCACCCCTGATGAGTTCGCCCAATGCTGGAATGCCAGTCAGGAGTGCCAGAACCTGAAGGGAGAGATCGAGCAGTACAAGAGCGACCACCCTATCGACGGTGTCGACGCCCAGGCGTTCAGAGAGCAGAAGCAGTCCGTTCAGGCCAAGAACCAGCGCCTCAAGTCCCCGTACATCTTGTCATATGGTCAGCAAGTCAAACTCTGTCTCTGGCGTGGCTTCAAGCTTCTCAAAGGCAGTCCCGGCTTAACACTATTCGCCCTGATTGCCAACTCTTGCACTGCTCTCATCATGTCGTCCCTGTTCTACAACCTTTCGGAAACCACCAGCTCGTTCTACAATCGATCCGCCGTTCTCTTCGTCGCCATTCTCGCCAACGCCTTCTCTAGTGCCCTGGAAATTCTCACGCAGTACGCGCAAAGACCGATTGTCGAGAAGCACACCCGCTATGCCTTCTATCACGCCTCCGCTGAGTCCTTCTCTTCCGTCCTGGTCGACATGCCGTACAAGATCCTGAACACGATTTGCTACGACTTGATCATCTACTTTATGACAAACCTGAACCGCGAGCCTGGAAACTTCTTCTTCTTCCTGTTCACGACCTTCCTGATGGTGCTTGCCATGTCTGGTCTGTTCAGATCAATGTAAGTTCCAATCGTGTCTCGCAATGACACTTGAAGCTAACGTCAAACAGCGCCTCTCTGTCCCGCACTATGTCACAAGCCATGGTCCCCGCCTCGATCTTGATTCTGGCTCTGGTCATCTTCACCGGTTTCGTCATTCCTGTCGACTACATGCTTGGCTGGTGCCGATGGATCAACTATCTGGACCCTGTGGCCTACGGTTTTGAAGCGGTAAGCTCAACTACTTGCAGGCATCAGAAACGCAGACTGACCCAAGTTTCAGCTTATGATCAACGAGTTCCACAACCGCGAGTTTGAGTGCGGTGCCTTCGTCCCCAGTCCCCTGCTCGAGGGCTATGAGAACGTCACCCTCGCCAACAGAGCATGCTCTACCGTCGGCGCCGTGCCCGGCCGTTCCACCGTTAGTGGTGACGCCTACATCGGATCTCAGTACAAGTACTTCAACTCGCACAAGTGGCGCAATGTCGGCATCCTCATCGCCTTCATAATCGGTCTCCACATGGTTTACTTCCTCGCCACTGAATATGTCTCTGCCAAGAAGTCCAAGGGCGAAGTCCTCGTCTTCCGTCGTGGCGTCGCCCCTCCTGCCAAGGGCAAGGACGATGTTGAGGCTTCCATGTCTGGACCTTCCGCCATTGTCGAGAAAGGTGGCAGAGGGGCTGGCTCCGACAACGAGGGTGCTATCCAAGCTTCCACCAGCGTCTTCCACTGGAACGATGTGTGCTACGATATCAAGATCAAGGGCGAGCCTCGCAGAATTCTGGACCACGTCGACGGTTGGGTCAAGTAAGTGATTCTGAAGCTGATATGCCAACGTCAACTAACATCTGCCAGGCCTGGAACTCTGACGGCTCTCATGGGTGTTTCCGGCGCCGGAAAGACGACTCTACTCGACTGCCTCGCTGATCGTGTCTCCATGGGTGTTATTACAGGAGAGATGCTTGTTGACGGAAAGATTCGCGACCAGTCCTTCCAACGCAAAACCGGTTACGTCCAGCAACAGGATCTCCATCTCGAGACCAGCACTGTTCGTGAGGCTCTGGAGTTTAGTGCTCTGTTGCGCCAGCCCGCCACTACCCCTAAGGCCGAAAAGTTGGCCTATGTTGACGAAGTCATCAAGCTCTTGGATATGCAGGAATACGCTGACGCCGTCGTTGGTGTCCTTGGCGAGGGATTGAACGTCGAACAACGCAAGCGCCTCACGATCGGTGTGGAATTGGCCGCAAAGCCACCCCTCCTTCTCTTCGTCGACGAGCCCACTTCTGGCTTGGATTCTCAAACCTCGTGGGCTATCCTGGACCTTCTCGAGAAGTTGTCCAAGGCTGGCCAGTCTATCCTGTGCACCATCCATCAACCGTCCGCCATGCTGTTCCAACGCTTCGACCGCTTGCTGTTCCTCGCTAAGGGCGGTAGAACTGTCTACTTTGGAGAAATCGGAGAAAACTCGCACACCCTTACGTCGTACTTCGAGAGAAACGGAGCCCCCAAGTGCCCCGACGGCGCCAACCCTGCCGAATGGATGCTTACAGCCATCGGAGCCGCCCCTGGATCAAGCACCGAGACCGATTGGCACCAGGCATGGAGATCTAGCCCCGAGTACCAGGCCGTTCAGGACGAGCTCCAGCGTCTCAAGTCCGAGGGCGCATCCCACATTGACTCTCAGGAAGACCAGAAGGCCTCCTTCCGCGAGTTCGCCGCCCCCCTCTGGGACCAGCTCCTCATTGTCACCCGCCGTGTGTTCCAGCAGTACTGGCGCACGCCCTCGTATATCTACGCCAAGTTCATCCTCTGCTGCTCCGTCGCCCTCTTTATCGGTCTTGTCTTCCTCAACGCCCCACTCAGTATCCAGGGTCTCCAGAACCAGATGTTCGCCATCTTCAACATCCTGTCCATCTTCGGTCAGCTGGTGCAGCAACAAATGCCGCATTTCGTGACGCAGCGCTCGCTCTATGAAGTCCGTGAACGGCCGTCCAAGACGTACAGCTGGAAGGTCTTCATGCTGTCGCAGGTCGTCACCGAGATCCCCTGGAACTCGCTCATGTCCGTCTTCATGTTCATCTGCGTCTACTACCCCGTCGGCCTCTGGGAGAATGGCGACCCGAGCCAGCGCAGCGAGCGCGCCGGTCTCATGTGGCTCCTCTTCTGGCAGTTCCTCATCTTCACCTGCACCTTCGCACACGCCTGCATCGCCATCACGGAGACGGCTGAAATGGGCGGTAACCTGGCAAACATGCTGTTCATGATGTGTCTGCTGTTCTGTGGTGTCCTCGCCAGCCCCCAGCAGATGCCTGGCTTCTGGATCTTCATGTACAGAGTGTCACCGTTCACATACCTGATATCATCCATCCTATCCACTGGTCTGGCCAACTCCCAGGTTACCTGCTCCGGTAATGAGTACATCCACTTCAACCCGCCCGCCAACGACACCTGCGCGACCTTCATGAAGGGATACATCGACCAAGCCGGAGGATACCTCCTGAACCCCGATGCCACAACCGACTGCAGCTTCTGCTCTATCGCCGACACCAACGTCTTCCTCACACAAATCAGCTCCAACTTTGACAACAGATGGCGCGACTTCGGCATCGGCATGGTGTACATTGTCTTCAACATTGCCGCCTCCCTGTTCCTCTACTGGCTGGTCCGCATGCCAAAGAAGAGCAAGAAGGCCTAAGCCAACACTCTCTCCCTCTCTCTCACACACAACATCACGACACAAGGATTCCACTACGCAGCACACAGTCTGCGATCATCACAAACAACTTCTTCTCTTTCTCTAATGTCACCTTTTTCTCCCTCAAAGAATATTACTGCATATGTATGATGGGCATCATAGATGTTTCCTTAAAGTCTGGGTTATGGATTACATGGGCTAGAATTGTCGCAAGATCATTTTGTAGCATTCAATAAACTGAGCATCTCACGAATGAAATAAGTCTGACTGGATTGACGAGGGATGTTTCGTGGAGTCCAATGACAACTCATTGGACTTGGTAATCACAAAGCCCGCCTACTAAAACCCGTGTCTTCCTGTAGTTTGTTTTACGAGGCCGTTAACCCTTTCCCCGCTGTACACCCATGCTCAGGAACGTAGCCCATCGTTGCGTTGTCACGCCACCCCTGAACGTTATCAGAAAGCCAACCCAATGCCTCACCCAACCTGCAATCACCACCTCACCTGAGCCACGAGAACTTCACCAACAATCCGTCTATACACGTTCCGTTGACGGTGGGTTCTTCTCGTATCGATGCTCCCTATCCACTCCCTCACCACGGCGATGAAGTCCCAAGCAGTCAAGCCCCTCTTGTGAGCGCCTATAACAGGCGGGTCCCGCCTCTCCACTAACCTGAACCCGTTCGCGGAGAAATGACTATAGGTTTCCAGCTTTGCGTGAGGCGGGAAAGTCGCGTCGTGCTCGATCACGTAGATATTTGGGCTGTCGCAGCCCCACAAGCCAGGGAGGTCTCTCCAGGACTTGGTGGCCCTCGCCGCTACGAGGCGCAGGAACAGCGAGCGCGGGCCCGGCATCTCCATCAGCTCCGGTATCGTCTGCGTATTCGGGTCAAAGGCCCACGAGTCGTCGTACTCGAAGACGATCGCCTCGCGGAAGGCAAATGTGGACTGGTTTCCTATATATCCCAGGTCTCGGACGGCCTGTGCTTCGTCTACGTAGAGATCTTGAGGGACTCGGAAGCAGACCAGGTCTCTGTCCGGGAAAGTCGCAAAGGGTGCGTCGACGCCGTCAACCCTCACGTTACGGATTCCAATGGCCTCTGGTTTGTCATAAGCTCGGTCGGGGTACGGAAGCCGTCGAGGGTAGCGTTTGGAGAAGTACTGGCTGATGGCGCTTCGCGACTCTCGACACGCGCTCCAGAGGCCGTAGTCCGCGGCATACGCGGACGGGTTCCCGTGAAGCCACCGAGAGCCCGGGTGTGTGGCGGGCGTGAAGGTGGATGGTGCCGCAAAGAACTTTCTTCCCGAGGCGTTGGCAGGCTCTTTCTCTTCTTGTACGGAAAAGAAGTGAGCGCCGCGCATTTGCGGACTGATGGCCAGCTTCCAAATCGGCCAACGCAACTCGGGAGGAAGCTCTCGGAAGAGGGTGAAGGTCGAAGACATTTTACTTGTGAAAGTGAGATATTCTGTAACGTGATAGTGAACTGGATAAGACGATGCGTTAAGAACTTGCGAGCCCGCGGAACTTATACACCCGAGGACTCGGTAACGGGCACCCGGAAGGAAGGTTCAGGTTTTTCATGGTTGCTGAGGGACGGACTCTACTTCTTACTGCTGTCATGCTGCTGTCACAGTTCTTGGCCGTCTATAAAACTCGGCTTCAAACGAGACGAAATAGAGAAATTTGTAAAAGCGATACTGATGGAAAGACTCTGGCTTTACCCAAAGCCAGAAGATTTTGTACCGAAATACATCCGTTTTCACACGTTCTGTATCGAATTGTTAGTAACGGATAAGGTCTTTGGTATCACCAGCTACGTTCTCATTGCAGTCATGCAGACTTTCGTGGAAGCCATAAATGATACCCACACGACACCACCTTAGCGGCATTTTCCTCCAACTTGGTTCTGAAGTAACATATTGCTTAGGATCCGTGATGTAACACTTTAAATATCAGGCCAGGCAGCGTTTCCTCCATCTCCAGTTAATACGCACCCATCCGGCGAGACTTCGACGACCGATAGCGGCGGCTTGCAGTCTTGTTGTAAAGGGGGAAGTAGAGGCCAACTTCCCAATCGCAGTCTTGCAGTGTTTTGTTGCCTTCAAGGGACACGTTTCAATAGTCCTCGGACGCAGCCATGCCTCTATGAGGCGTGACCTCCTCACAGCTCATAGCATTGCAGCGAACACAGACTCATGTAGAATCATTAAACATTTCATCTACTCATATGTCTATCCATCAAAGGGGGAAAGCGCAACGCAAGCGAATGGGTATAAAGCAGCTTCCAAAAACACAAGTCCAGCCCGCCCATGATCCAAACCCTTTTCGATCCTGATCCCAACACCCCAAACCTTCAGCAGCACAGCGTCAACTAAACGCCCCCAGCAGCCCTCTCCTCCCTCGTCCTCTCCTCGGCCAGAGGTTCCATCGCCGGCTCCCCCTCCCTCTGGCCCCTAGGCTCGCTCGGCTGCAGGTTCAGCTTGCGCATCAGCTTCACCGCGGCCCGGTTCTCCTCCCGCTCCTCGGCCTCCTTCTCGAGCACCTTGCGCTCCTTGGCCGCGCTCTCGCTCTTGTCCATCTCGTCCTCCTCGCGCTTCTTGAACTCCTCGGGCGCAACGATCTTCTCCTTCTTTAGCGACAGCTTCTCGAGCGCCTTCTTGCTCTTCTGGTGCGACTTGACGTACACCTCGAGCCCGACGAGCACCGCGTACGACTTGGAGATGGACACGTGCGACGTGTCGACGCCGGCCTCCTTGAGCGACTTGACGAACGCGCGGAAGTTCGACGCCGGCGGGCGGTAGTGCCCGCTCAGCGGCGACAGGCTCGACAGCCGCCCGTTCTTGATCTTGATCAGCCCCGCCGCCGAGATGCGGCTGCCCTGCAGGAAGCTCGAGTGCTGGAAGGCGCCCGACGCCTTGATGCCGACGTACAGCCGGAAGCTCGTGTCCGCGACGAAGATCCACGTGTTCTTCTTAACGGACTTGCGGAGCAACTTGTTGAAGACGGTCGTCGCCGAGATGTGCGAGACCTTCTTCATCCCCGTCGCGCCGTCGAACTCGGGCGTCGCGTACTTTGCGGCGCGGTCGGCTTCGAGGGCCGACTCGACGGACGACTCGGAGCGGCTGTCGTCAACGTCGCGGCCCTCGGGGGGAGGGAGGTTGGTCTGCGACCACGCGGGCGTGGGGTCGTCGGCCGGGACGATGCCGTGGACGCTGTCCTTGTAGGACTCGGTGGTGTCGATGCGCTCGCCGTTCTTCGCCCAGGTAAGCCGCCCCTCGGAGTCGACTTGCACCAGGTAGTACTGTCTCTCCTCTCGTGACAGGTATCTGACCTGCTCTCTCTCGAGTCGATCGCGCGGACACGCCTCCATCTCGACGTTCTTGCCGCCACCATAGTCCAGCCAGTAAAAGAAGTTCTCATTCGTGTCCGACTTCTTCCATTCCTCGTGGTACACGCGCAGGTTGCTGCCGTAGCGGTGCTTAAGGTCGACCATCTCGAGGAAGTACTGCAGACCCATCATCTTGGAATCCTTCTTGCGCTTCTCGATGGCCTCGTCGCGTCGTTTCCGCCGCTCGGCTCTCTGCTCGGGCGACTCTGTAGAATCATCCGACGAGGACGAGGATTCGGCCTCGGAGTCGGTGTCGTCGTGGCCGGCGCGCCGCGCTATGGTCGCCGCTTTCCTCCAGTTGTCCCGCGCCGTCGTCGGTTTCATACCGCCATCCGAGTCCCGCGACAGCACACTATGCTCGTCGCCGCCGTTGACAGACAATGCCGCAGAGCTCTTTGCCCTCGGCCTGTTCATCTCGCGAAACCGCATCTCTTCGATGGCCGACATCCACCTCGTCGTCGGATCCAGCCCGAAGCCCTTCATCTCTCGCCTCACTCTATAGCCACGGTAATTGCGCTGGATGAGCGCCGCGGCATTCTTCATCGCTTCACTGTCGCTCCTATTTCTTGTTGTTGGCGACTTCAGAGGCGCCTCGACCCCGGCCCCGGCATCTTCAGAGTGCCGGGGCGAATGCGACTGCTGGCTCTGCATCGATCTCCTCTTGGAAGTGCGGTGTGTGAGTTTGATTTCCTCCTCGCGCTCGCGCTGCACCTCTGCAATCTTTTCGAATTCGTCGCGCGACGGCGGGACGAGGCTGTCCATGTACTCCTGTCGCGAACTGAGGTTGGTGCTGGTGTGGGACTGCGCGAGCGAGCAAGTGTCGTCACTCTGCGCCGCCGTTGCAGAAAAGTTGCAATCTGGGTGGTGGGAAATGGAATCCTCAGCGGACGATCTTGGCACGGGAGGGCTCGCCGGCGGGGTAATTGCGGCGCAGGAAACGTGCTGGTGCTGCTGGTGCTGCTGGTGCTGTAGAGGAGCGGTCCTTTGGGGTCCAGATTCGTCGTCCTTTTGAGTGTTTAGTTGGTGCTCGTGCTGCAGCTGTTCAGAAGCCGGTTCCTCTTCGGATTCGGGTCCGACGGCAGGATAGCGGCGGTTGCTGGGGTCGAATTTCGTCATCATGGCCGTTGCCGCTGTGGGCGCTGCAACGGCTGCGGCTGCTGCCAACGCTGCCACTGCGCCTACGTCTGCGGGGTCTGCCCGGTTGTGACGAAGGCGAAAGGAGAGGGATCTGGCCCGAGAGCCGGCTGGGGCGAGCATCCGGTCTTCTGATCGTTCCAAGTCGGAACTATGCTTTGGGTTGGTGGTGGTGGTGGTGGTAGTGGTGGTGCTTGGTTGGTGCCTCGTCGGGATGTAGGTGGTTGCGAAATCGAGGCGTATTGTTTGTAGACCGATGTTTCCAATGTTAAAGGCTGTTTTAGTGAGGCTGCAGCAGTGTAATGCGGGGGTCAATATGTGTCGTCTGGAGCTTGAACAAGAGTCTTTGAAGGTCGGCCAGTCATGGGTAATTATGGGGTTGAAGTAAGCATATCGAAGAGAAGGGGGCCAGATGTAGTAGATAAAGTACTGCGAAGATGGGCGAGTCGAGAACGCAGTCAAGAGCAGTCAAGAATCTGCCGAGACGGTTAGACCCTTTCCCAATCACTAAAATATATTAGAGCCGGTGGGAACGTTGAATAGGGTAGGATAGGAACGGTCGGCGTCCCCTTCTAGAAGAAGAGGAAATCTCAGGACAATAAACATCGCCCTGCATATACCACGGGCCATCCTTGTCAGCAAGCGGCTTGGGGGCGGGCTCGTTTCTCCATATTACCCAGCAAAGCAACAAGGTGTGTGCTGCTCAGCCGACGACTGCTGGCGTGTAAATGCTGGGCTGTGACGCAACCTAACACATTTCAGCACACTCGTTTGACCAAGAAGTTGAAAGAAACCCCGTGGGCGAAGACGGCGACGGGATGCGCTGATGTCTTCGGGATCCCGGATTGCCTCTGGGTGCGCGGCCGTGATGCGTAACTTGGTTCCTGCGGCCTCTTCTCCCGCCCGCAGTCCGTCTACTTGTTGAAGAAGGCGCCTGTGGCTTGTGCAGACCGAGAAAGCCAGTGAGATGCTATCCAGCCAACCCGATAGGCAACCTCGACTACCCAATCAGTCTAGGTGTGGCTGTCTAGACGAAAGGGCCAACGGAATAGACAGGGAAACCCCGAAATAGCAGGCCACGGCCACCTTACAGCTAACTAGCTCATCGGAAGAGAGAGGCATTGCTGGTAGACGATCTCTCAACCGCATGTCTGTTTTACGTACAGACTGAGACTAGGCTGCATTGGGCGCTCACGACGGTCTTGGTCCGCCTTGGAGGGACGCCAAACGGTCACCAACCCCCACCAAAAGTTTCCAGCCCTGTTAAACATTACGCGTCCTAGTCAGTCTTGCGGGGGAAATGCTCTCCAACCACGATCCTCGCCCAGCTGACAGCAAACACTCTGCCACCAGCAAAACCAACAAAGTAAGCACAGGGCACTTCACAGCCACGGCCCTGACCAGAAGGTCCAAAACGGCAGCTCATTCAGCTGTCTTCCTCGTTGCCCCACCTAAGCCCCCCCGCGGCCGCCGAGACTTCTGGCGGCAACGGCCTTGGCGGCCACCGATGAGGGACCCGCGATCTCGAAGGGGTTCACCGTTCAGTAATCGGGCGTTGAAGCCCTGAGGATCAGATATATTTTGGTCTCCTAGACGGAAACATTATCATTATTGTTCATTTGTTCATGATTCGGGTCAATCTCAGCCCGCTATATATGTGCAACGGGGCCCCCCGCTGGTTCGCAGACTTTTCTGCGCTGGAGACTGGGGGCCCGCCGCTGCGCCCCCGCGATCAGCTACGGCCATCTCCGTGCTGTGCTGCAGGAGCTCAGAAGATATACAAAAAAAAGGGTAAAAAATAGAGGATAGGTATGTAGACACTATGTTTATGAGAAGAGAAAGTCCTTGAGTACTGGCGACCCAGAGAACTCGGGATTCAACATTATACAACTGCCGCTTGTTAGCATCAACATTCGTCATGTCAGGGCTCCGAGATTTCCTACTTGAGAAAGTACTGCAGCCCCGATCTCCTCTTGTCGAGGAATCTGGGTCTGAATTTCGATATCACGCTCTTGGGCGGTAGAGGGGGCACCGCTGCCTCGAAATTGGGGAACGACGTGACGAGCTTCTCGCGAAGGTCATCAAACTCTGAGTATCGCTTGCGAATGTTCATATAGCTGCCCTGTTCACCTATTGTCAGCGTCGGGCCCAGCTGCAAGAAACCTCAAGCCTCGAGGTGGCCAAGGCCTGCGCAGGTCACCTACTTGTAGCGTTTCAACTCTGATGTTCCATACCACAAAAGCCCCAATGTTCGTCGCGCTGCCGTTGACTATGACATAGTCTGTGATCTCGACGCTCTTGGCCCAACACGCGCGGTTCCGGTCGTTTCCGTCGCTGGCTTCATTGTCGTGCATCGTGATCGCGCCGGCGGGCAGCACAGACTCGACCGAGATGTTGGAGACGGAGCGCTGGTGGTGATTGTTCAACCAGTACGGAGGCGACGTCACTGACGATGGGCTCGTCACCGACGACGCAGGGCCGCCCGAAGATGTCTCGTCGTCCTCCTCATCCCCGAATAATCCCCCGCGTGTACCATCATTGTTCTGGCGCGACAGCAAGCCCGCGATGGTTCCGTTCGACGTTGTGACCTTGGGCGAAGCTTTCGGATGGCTGCCGTTCAAGTCGGTGGCGGGGAAGGTGCCATTGGTGCGGAATTGGGATTCTATCGCCGAGTCCATGAATCCATGTGCGGAGCGGCCGCTACCTCATGGACGGGCGCCGTGGTCTTTTTCGTCTTCTCGATTGTGATTGCGGATCTCGGGAGAGTTGTGGCCTGGTGGTTTGCGCAGGTGCAAGTCCGTGTGTCTCGTTGCGTGAGAATAAGTGACGTATTGACGATGTCGAGGCCCAAGGGAACGAAAGACTTGTCTCGGGGCGCTTCTTAGACTCCGCGGTCCGGTTGGGTGGTAGGGTCCGCGTGGCTGTGCACCAATGGAATTGAGAGCGGGCTAGAAGCTACAAGTACTTGCTTGGCTAGCACTCGGCAGTCTGATTGTTGAGGCCGGCGATGCTACGTGCGGGCGGCAATTAGGTCGGGCCGTGGTATCGAGATGGCAAGCTGAGATTTGGCAGCAGGGGATCGGGAAATAAGGCTCGAAAATGAAGCGAAATAAGGTATGCAAGTTGATCACTGGCTAAGCCCAAGGTCGGGCGGGATCACAGTGCACAATTACAGCAATGCTTGGGGATGAAAGTTTGGGTGTTGTTTGTTTTGCGGTATCAAAACAATGGAAACAACAGCGAGAACGAGAGGCGCACCTACCATACCTAACCTTACCTACCACCAAACAAACGTTCGCTCCTTCCCTCTGGTAAGGTAGGTAAGGTAGGTATCTGGGATCATGTGTTGAAAGGGGAACCCCTCCCGCGGAAAGATACGCTTAGGTAAGGCAATTGCCGGATTCAAGGGTCCATTTCGAGTTAAATCCCCACGAATACGCGGGCAGGTGCGCATCGATTGCGATTGCCAATATCAGTTGAAAAGTCTGTTTGGTGCCATCAGACGACAGTCGAGTGGTAAGTGCGCGAGCTGCCATTGGATGAAAACTGCAGGTACCACCGCACGCTGCATATCACGGCACTCCCAAGCAAAGCCTGCAAAACACCAGCAGCAGGGAAGGATGTCTCCCAATGTTCGTTCATGAATGGGCACATCGCGTGTCTTATCTTGCTCGCCACGCATTGCTGGTCTCTCCATCATAGGCCGTTCTCGGGTCTCTGCTCAAAATAGACCAGCCCAGGAGTCCTAGCGAGGTGACACTGACGATTCACCAGGATGCCCCCCCAGAGTTTCGGTTGTGGCGCCTTGAAGAGAGGTGAACACTGGCAGCACGAGGGTCCAATCCAGATCCAACTCGACGCAAGCGCTGTTCCCCCGCGCCATGGCATCTTGGTCCAAGTCATCGGTGCGGATACGAAGCTGCAGAACCAAGACCCGAGTGGAGGTGGAGGAGTTGGAGGGTGCATCTCGCTGACCAGGGTCTTTGGGCTCCCAGGGCTCCTATTACGATCTGAACGTTGTCTACTCCGGTGCCCCCTCATTGGCGGTCAGGAAGCTTTCTCGGTACTTGCTGCAACCACGGCTGCCGCAACTGCGTGAAGCTAGAGGACTGCATCCGGTTCATCGCATCAGACGAGGAACCAACGATGGAGGAAGAAGAGGACGCATGCAAGTGCGGAAGTTGTTGACAGCTTGACACATCCAGTTGTGGCGGTATCTAGGGCTAAAACGTCCATCACGAACACGACAGTGTCTTCGCGACGTCCAACGGCTTTTTTCAGTTATTGATAGTCCCTTCGTGTCAGCGCCCGGCCTGACTTTGTTTCGACTGACTGCCACGCGGACTTTATGGGGGTTTTTGAACGGCGTGACACCGGACTGGGCTTCGGAGCCGTCATCAGCAAAGACACCACAACAACAGCTACAGCCCCGACAGGTGCCAGCCACCTTGGTTCTCCAACCTCTCTGTTCTTTTCACGCCGCGCTGTGCGTTTCCTTTTGGTGCCGTGTATCACTTTTCAAACAGTGGCCTCGCCCGAGGCACTCTAGACTGCAGGACTAGCTGCGTCGTTGACCTGCACAACGCCCGCGGGGGAGGGTTTCGATATGCAGAATACGAGTGGCGATCACTCCAGCGGGATAGCCGCAAACAGCGACATCAGCAAGGCAAAGGGGTGTCCAACATTGAGGAAAATGTTGGCGGTTGGAACAATCGGAGGCGGTTCCGCCAGGCCAAAGGGGGCGGCTGCACCAGCTCCTGTCTCGCGGCATCTGCATTTTGCAACTTGCAGGGCGATGGTGGTCTCGTAAAGTTGTGTGCTAAGAGGAGCCTGGAAGAGGGGTCTGGCCTGTTTGGCAGAAGTTTACTGCACGAGACCCGGACGCCGCCGCCGTCGCCGCCGTCTGGCCGCTGGGGTACTGCTGTTAGCCACAGGCACACGAACATCAGGCTGCTTGGGCGGGCAGGCAGAGGAGCCTTGGCTCCGATCACCGTCGAATTCGCCCGCTGGTGTTTCCGTTTTTATGGAGAGCAAGATAGTTCTAGTCTGTTCTGCAACCTCGTAATCAACAATGGGGCCGGTCATCCGATGTGCGAAAAAGCGGCATCCAAGTGGGAATTCGACTGACTTTGATAGTAGGGGAGTGAGTTGAGAACTGAGAAAACCCCCGGCTAGGGATTGGACTGGCTTGACCGACAAGTCAGACACGGAGTCTTCGTCAGGATGTCTCTCGCCGCACAGGATACGGGCGAGCGCGGGAATGCTGACTCCTGCTTTTAGCACCTATGCACAGCATGGACGGCACAGCGAGCGCGAGGCTGGAATTGGCCGTGGGTTGACAGGCATGGACGCAGAGCCGTTAGTGAACGGATCGCTGATCATTGATGGGATCAACAATTGTCAATGGCGATGGGCGGACAAGCCGGCCCTTTACTTCTAGCACCATCCTGATGTGGCCCGGGGCAGCATGTTAATGAGGAACGGCGAGGGAACTCGGGCCTTCCATCTCAACTGAACATGATGAGGGCATTTGCATTTGCGTCCGCATCCGCGTCTGCATCAAATGTCGGCATCAGCATTAGACATTTGCAGTGCAGACTGCCGCCGCAGACGAAGAGACGAACACTCTGAGAATATCGGTTTGTGGAGAGGAGATTCATCTCCGGGCAACAATGGACACCCGATCTCGCTAGCGGAGCGGGCAAAGCAATACTAACTGGCACCCTGGAGCATTTAGTGCCATCGGTGCTGCAGACAGAGTGCAGAGACCCTGGAAGCTGCGGAGTAACCTCGTCCAATCCCTGCCCAGAAGGTCGCTGAACCCTTCCATCCTCCACCCAAGCCTCAACTCCACCGAAAAAACAACACCAAGAAGCCCTGTCTGACCCTGGGCCACAACCCCCGAAAGAATATCACCCTGGCCTGGCACGTCGCCACGGCTGTTGGAGCCTCCTGACTGACCGACCTGCCTGAAGTTGAGGGATTGGCACTCTAGGGTATCTCTGAGCCGTCCAAATGCCGTCGTGGAGCGGGTCTTCGTACGAATCAGGGCAAACTGCCCATCCGTAGGTACCAAGGGGGGCCCAAGAGGGAGAATCAAACATGCCGTGCTGAGACGGAGGGGGAGAACCTACGGACACGGCCACTGTCTCTTGCCCATCAGAGACATCACATCTACCAAGGATACGGAGAAATCGGTACAGACTCCAGAGTCGACGATAGAATGGATGGATCCCAAGTGGTGACTCCACGAGTTTACGGTCACATTCTCAACTCAATGGTACGACGTCTCCATTCTGAGAAAAGTCGGCCTCGTGATTGGCAGTCGGCGAACAGACCCCGACAAACCCTGGCACTGTCCATCCAGCAGGAAATACGCCGGGTGGCTGGCGTGGAGACGAGCTAAACCCAATCCCGCCCGTTCTCTCCATTTCGATATCGCGAGCCCGTGGCGTTGTGGTCAGGGACCCCCGGGCCTCCTTTATTTTCGACCTTGTGCGGAAGAAGCTCACCCCCGGACGGACGCCTGTGGCCTGCCTATCTGCTACTGTACGGCAATGTATGCACAGTACCACCCAGCATTGCTAGCCTAGGCAAGATGGCTTCCTCCATGCCATGTTCCGCTTGGCTCCTCTTCCTGCCCAGGCGCCGCTTCTGCTGCGTGCTCTCCACGGGCCCTCTCCTCTCGCCTCGACCGAGCTAGCCAAGGTACGGCTAATTCTAACGGAGCACCACACGCCTGAGCCTGAGTTTTTGCTTGATATTAACCCCGTCAGCTTCTCTCACGACTCGCTTCCTTCTTCTTCTTCTCCCTCCTCACCCTCCAGCCCGTGTGTCTTGCCTCTCGTTACACAGTCGAAAAAGTTGCTTCTGCCCTTCACCTGTGTCTTATCCGCCCCTCTCGCACATATAATCTCTTGCTCTCGTTTTATACAAGAGATCTTCGACAACTTCGCTGTTCCTAGTCTCGATTTTGTGCCCGCTCATAGGACCAGTCCCTCCGCCTCTCGCTACCACTAATACATTTCTGGACGACGGCTCTTCTCCCCGCCAGCAACGGCTCTCGCTCAAGTCAACAACCCCTTTAGTCCGTAAGTCGACCCCGTCCCATTCCTGACGCCTTCGCCCCCAAAGACTCGCCTCCCTCCAGCCATGTGCTACTCAAACAGCTGTCGAAGCCAATGTGGAGCAATGAGGCTGTGGAAAGAGTTTAGGAATGCAGCATGCAGAAATGCTGCTTCTGTCCACAAATATGGCTTTTTGCTGACCAGGAAACGCAATAACAGCAGTTGATATTAATACCTGGATATCTAGCTCTCTAATTCTTTGTTGAGAGCTCCGTTCTTCTATCCTCCCACATCAACATCTCGAGTCGATCACCGAGCACTCACACACACGACACACAATGCCTTCATTCAAGAGCACCGTCTTTGCCGTCGCTGCGGCTTTCGTCGCCGCCGCCCAGGCCGACTACGTTATCGAGCCCAAGTCCGTTCCTCTGGCCACAAGAAGTACGTTATTCTACCCCCAGGTCCTGCTCCACCGCGATGGAGAGTGTGGGATTTGAGCACAGATGCTGACAGCAAGCTGCAGAGGCCTGGTGCCAAGATGAGACGAACACTTGCCCTATCATCTGCCAACAGGTCGAGCCCAGGACGACTCTGGTCAATGACTGCGA